TTAGTTGGCGCGCTTTTGTCCTCATATTGTATGGGATGTTAATAAAAAATGCGAGACTTATCGCGTTCATTTAAAACTAATAAAGATATCCTTTAATAATCCGGTTTCACAAGTAATACTGAGACTTAACATACTCTGTTATAAAATGTACGAGTCAAATGTATTCATTTCAGCTCCTTTTGAAGTCAAAATTACTCATCCAGAAGTGCAAGACACCGGGTCGACTACACTGCTGTTTATTTTTAGATGATACTCATATGTTAATTATATTATTTGAAAGTTTCTATATACCGTAAAGTTTGTCACTAGGTGGCGCCAAGCTTTGGATAAAAATGCAAATTGGATAAATATTGAGATATTAGTGCGGATATCTCTAAATCGAGAAATGAGCCACTGCTCATATGTGTATAAAAACTGTACGAATATGATAATGATCATAGCCCATTAAAAGCTAAGTAAAACGTTAGGTAAATAAAGAATATTATTTTTATGATTGTAGCCGTTTTAACATAATATCTCATTTTACGTGGGTCACAAGTCAAAAGTGAGTGTAACAAGAATGGATGATCCCTATATAATGATTTGACAAATAAAATCATGGAAGGCATCATAGAGATTTTTTGATCGTGTCTCAGAACGCCAAAGCGTTACTTCACGTAAATATTGACGGCTCACGATAATTTTTTGATGGTGCTGTACGCTGTTTTAACCTTCATTTAAAAGGTAACATTTGTAAATTTAAAATGTTATGTTAAGTTCTTCTCTCTTGGAATTTTAGTACGCTGTGCGGACTCAGTCTCCGTCCACAAATTTTGTTATGTAGGGACAAATAAAAATTAAAATGAATTTATCGATTATCTTTTTTCTTCTCCCATAACAAAAGGGAAACTGTTATATTTAACTTTTCATTTCGATTAAATAAACCTATAAGTGTCCCAATAAGTTGGGTCTGACTGAAACTAGTGTAGTCTCCGCAGTGAAAAAATAAATTAAGAGCAATGGCGACATATCTCGTTACAAATTCGAATCCCGTGGCGCCAAAATTTTTTGTTCATTTATCTACTAAACATACAATATAGATAAAAAAGTTTGGACCGTGAAATAAATTCTCAACAAGGCGAGATGGCGGCAAACGACGTACTTTCGCAACAGGGTGTATGGTTACCCTTGTACGTCTCGATTAAAACATCAAACAAGGCCCAGTTAACGACTCAAAGGCTATCCTTAAACAGTTTCCAGCATTGTTGCACCGCGGGATTGGGTTACGCGCACAATCGGTCATTGTTTCAAATAACGATTTGCGTAATGGACGGAAACTCGGCGCCTTTCCATTATGTAAACTCGAGAAGGCCATTATACTACGTCGAACTTTTTTCTTTTACATAATTGTAGCGGTAACGGTTGTAAGATTTTAGCATTTCGCTATTGTTTAAAGCCAAGGGACTTGTTTCGAAAAAGTTCTATAAGTTGATATCTGTAGAGTAAGGCACTCAATTGACGATGATCTCAACGATGTTACATCTAAATTGTATTATCGAAAACCTATAAAATATAAACCTCTAAAATATTAACTTTATTTCGATTCCACAATGCAGCGGGATCCACTGTAACATAGCAGATTAAAAATAAGTTACATCTCGTAATACTGTTCAGGACTAAATAGGCTGGTTATTTGGATGGGGTTTGGTTCGACTGGTTTACTTCAAAAACCTGAAGTACATCGAGCCAAATGCTGGGTTGCAATATTAATGACTGAAAATATTACAATATTGTCTTGTCGCACCGACATAACATTTAAGAGAGTTTTGTGTGCAGCAATGCTGGAAACTGTTTAAGGATTTGATTACGGCTCATAAATTGTTGAATCAGCTCCATGTTTATCTTTAGCAAATATTTTTTTGTATAACTTTATTAAAAAAAGCGATGCTCTGGCTAGGCTTGGGGTTCGTGGGTTAGAATACAAGTGGTACACCAAAGAGCAGTTTCTAATATACTCGCAAACATTTCACATTACTAAATGCTACCACGACATAATGGTCTATTTTTGCGGATTTCATCGCGTTTATTTAATTAATAATATAGAGAGGTTTCTTAGAAAGACGTCTCAATGTTTAAATTTTTTATAGTGCTAATCTCTGCACTTAAAATTTGTAGAAAAGTAAGAATGATTGTCACCGCTGTGGGAATCGAACCCACGTCTTCGGCATTCGCGGCCTGACGCTCTAGCCACTGAGCTAAACGGCTGATTGCCACACCGACGAAAATCTTAACGTCTTTTATCTACATTGTTTTTTAGCATTTGAAGCAATGCTTGGCGCATGCGTTTTTATATCGTTTGCAGCATACAAACAATTTCGAATACGTTTTACAACGATAATTCGAACGAGCAATGTCACAAACCACCGTCAGTCTTTAAAACGCTATCATCATCATCGTCCTCCTTCCCTTATCCCACTTAAGTTGGGTCGGAACAAAATGTGAATCATGCTGTAAGCGGTTTTGGCTATGTTTTTTAGGATCAGCCTCCCTGGCGTCAACCCTCCTTGGGAAACAAACACCCAGATCCAGAACAATTATTTGTGGGTCACACAAATACTTGTACCGTATGGGAATTGAACCCACGTCCCCCGACGCCGAAGCCAATAGCTAACCAACGGCGCCATCGGCTCGGATAATGATAGCTCAGTATAAATCAGCTTCAGACTTGCGAAATAATTCAATATGTGTATTTTCTAAAGTAATCCTAACTTTCCATGCTTTCTTAAGACAGCTTCTGCGGTCGTTGATATATGCTAAAGATTTTGTCGTGAACAAAGCGAAACAATGAACATTCTGTCCACGACATAATGGTCTTAAATATCATCAATTCATAATGAATATATGGATTGTAATGTAGGCACCATCATTATAAATTTCAAGAACGACCGCACTTTCAATAAAAATGTTTCATTGCTTTGCATGTACATTATTTAAGCCACTATACATTTTTATGTAAAGTCATACACAAACGTACTAATTAATATTATTGTCATCTAAGTTGGAAAAAATTGTTCAACAGAGTATGTTTGTACCTTTGCTCTCGATTGTTTTTACTTATAATTATTTTTTTACTATAAAGTTTATTTATTAATAATTTTTTTTTTATATTTAAAATCAAAGACATGTATAAAAATGTCCCTCCCCCGATATATTAAACAAAATTTTGACAAAGATAAATTTTGTCTGAAGTGACATTTGCTACATCTACTTAAAGAATTGACAATAAAATTTAATCATATCTGGGTAAAGCCGGGGCGGATGGCTTGTTCATTATAAACAACGCTTCTGTCATTTGTAGCGCTGAATCGAATGCATCAAAATATTGATGGTGGAACGAAATATAGTTCCCTTGCCCTGTTGACATTTAGAGTGTTGTTGCCTTGCATAATTCAGCCTTCCAGGTGCAATTTGTTTGGATCGTGCAATCGAAATTCTATTCATAATGGCCCAGTGCATTGACATATTATTACAAAATTGTAGTGTACAAAGCAGTTATTTCATTTTGTTAGGGCCACTTAACAGTCTATGCTGTTTCACGAAAGGGCAGGTCCGTCTGGATAAGTACCACGGCTTCGCAGAGGCCGGCGTGAAGTTTAAGTATCATACTTCTGCGATTCGTCTGGTGAGTGAGGTAGCCGGGGCCCACTTTATTGTTAAGTGACAACGCATCTGCAAACGTACGGGTGTTGTATATGTCCATGGGTGGAGGGGGCGCTTACATAAAAAAATCCCTCACAATGACTGTGTGATCGAGAAATAACATTATTTTGTTTTTCTTTGCAGGAGCCAATTGTCGATCTCGAAAAATACAATGTACACCCACGTTCCATAATGGTTCTAACCGCTCCCGGCAAAAGATCAACACAGTCAACAGCATCCGGAGCCCCAGCTCATGTATGCTACTTCTCACTTGGCTCTTTCGCCGCCTTATTTTCTCTATTCATTTGTCGGTTGACTGGTAGAGAACACTCACCTAATGGTGTTAAGATCACCATTGTACACTACTGTGTAAAATGTTTTTAAATAAATAAAAAAATGTATCCTTTTTGCCCGTAGCCAACAAATTCCCAAAAAGCACCCCCGTACAAACGTGGAATGGCAGTCAAGTGCTGGCCAGTTCTAAATTTAAAAAAAAAGGTGAGTGTACGCGAACAATCTTAAAAACAAGTGGAAACGCCTATCTACGAGCACAGTATAGTAAGTTATTAAAGCTTTTCATTTGGCTAAAGGGCTTAGACTAAGATTAAAGCGAAGATGTTTCATTAGTTCTGGTTTCTTCGTTTAGTGAGCTCCTCTCCAATCGTCGCGCACCTTGCGTCCGTCCCGACTAGAGATGATAAGTTGCATCTCGTTGCATTTTTATACCATTTATCACGGGAAGCAGGTTAAGTTTATTAGGTAGGTTTATTTTTAATAGATATCTCTTCTTCTTCCTCGTTCCCTCAATGCTGAGGATCGTGACCACGAACAATATATCGCCAACCAGTGCGATCATGCGACTCATGGACAGCCCGATACATGCTACCATATCAATAGATATGCGTCTATTAAAAATAAACAAAGATTAATAACGGATAAGGCGCATAGACATAGTAAATAAACGTCACTGTCATCATCCTACCGCCTGTTTTTCACAGTGAATTGTCACTGTCAGAGTCAGTGTCATTTGACATTACACGATCGATACACGTATGTATATGTAGTGTAGGTGTAGGTAATATTATCCGAACATGGTAATTTTAAGTAGATAAAATTTATGAACATTTCGAATAATTAATTTTGTGATGAGACACTAATATTTCTTTCGTTTGAATAGTTTGAACTACACTCATAATACGAATTATAAACGTATTACGAAAACGTTATTCGGAGTTTTGTGTGTTGAGTCACATTATAACGATATGCAATTATTTACCACAGCAAAGTTGTAATAGTTAGAAACGGACGTCTACATCGCAATAATGGATAAATTAAAAAATTATTGGTCAAAAACCAATCGATGGCATCGTGGTATGTACTTTTTCGTTTTTTGCAAATTTTTGTTTTCTCAACTGTTTCATTGTTATTGCAATTTATTTGTTCCTCTGTTCGTTAAATAAAAGTATCTAATTAATACAGTGGAACAATTTAAGGACGTAATGCTGCATATTTTGTAATCACTTCAATACTTTATTTCTATGACAGCCAATAGCGGATGCATATTACTTTTATTACTTGAATATCAACATATTCAAGCAATAAATGCTACATCGCATGATAATTTTCCTTTACAATGTTTACTTTAAACTTTTCCCGCTTTTTAATTTTTATGAATTTCATAATCGCTAACTCTGTTAGAAACCTGTCCAGTATTTATTATCATTAAATCAAATCTGGTATCACATTCAATCATTCATTATAAATGTAAGTTAATCCTGTTAAGTTGTGATATGATACTGCATATCTATGTGGTACCATTTAAAACCATTTTTAACAATATTATAGATAGCCTCTCTTAATAATTACATATCTATTGTATACAGCTTCAAAAATAGATCATGACTTCATTTTCACACTTCTTCACTAATGCAACTGGTAACTAGGTGATTCTGTTTTTGCTCCAAGCTATAAGTATAACAGTTAAGAAAGAAGATGAAGAAAGAACATACTGGACTTATGTCGCTTTTTATAAATTAACTGAATAAGATATTTTTTGCAATGATTTTTACAGTTATATTCCTGTTTCTGGTTGTGGAGCTTAAGGTAATACCGGGAGGCCAGTTGGGTTTTTATTGTAACGACCCAGCGCTTTCTCACCCATATACTGGAGACACAATCAGTTGGAAATGGCTCTTGGGTGTTACTGTACTCTTGCCGTTGGTTGTTGTAAGTTATACATATTATTGTCATTTCATATATTACATTATAAAAGCAGTCACTTGTATCCATTGTATTTAGACAATCCATGTATGAGTTTTCCAAGTTTTAGGCTGTTATGTTTACTTATATTAGTTAAATACTGATGAAACTCTATTCAATCATGAGTTTAGTATGGATCTAAGACAAAATAATACCATATACAGAAATGGCTAGTGGAAATCATAAAATTATTAAGAAATTAATGGAGATGGTCCCTGCTGATAGAATGACATTTTGCTATTTTATAATTAGATTTCTACAAGTACATACTGCACACCGAAGAAGATTTTGGCATTTTTTGATTACATTTCTACAACTTATATATTAATAAAATTTGCCCAACTCAAATCCAAGATGAGGATATCTACAATTAATTTCATCTATCTTTCAATTCAAGGACAACATCTTGAATTATTATATAGATTACTCAAATTGCAAAATTTGCAATCTGCAAAATTCTACTTATATTTAAGCTTATAGAGTACACTTAAGCCTTGTGAAATAATTATTTCCCAGCTATATATTAAATTATGTGTCCTAGATAAAAAATAAACTATTGTTAGATGAATGTCTTCTTATTTGCATTTGTATAATCTAGCACACTCATGAATGATTTAATGTATTGAGAGGCATTAGATGATTCTTATTAGCAATGAATTGTTTTTATAAGAAATGGATTGGATTACACAAGTAATATTTTTTTTATATTGACTATCTGTTTTCCTTGTTAATTGTTTCATGCTAATATTTAATGACTTAAAAATATGTTTTCTTTTATTTATTTTAAAGAGATTTTTTTATTTTGCTAATTAAATAAAGTTATACAAAAGCTTTTGAATTTGTGACCTTACATCACAAGTGGATGCCCCAGACCATGAGTTTAAAAAAGTGATTATTTTATTTATAGCAAGTTTTGAAAATTAAGCTGCATAGATTTAAACTAGTTCTTTAATAATTTGATTTTGTTCTATCTATCTATCCGTTCTTATGCCACAATACTGGTAATCTTGTTGACTTGAAAATTATACACAAATATAGGTCTTGAAGATTGCAAATGCCCTAGTGTGTAATATGCCAAACATTCAACTGTATTTTACAATGACACAGGCAGATAAAATTAAACAACTCTGGGTCACTGTGAATCGAACCCAAACCCTTAGCAAATCCATGCGGCAACTAAGCTTTAGCAGTCTTATCATGACGGCTTTTGGTTTTTTGCTACTGGATATGATAGAGAGTAATCCAAAATATTCTTGCATTTACTTTATAGATGTTAATTGTGGAGAGGCAACAGCATAATAACGAGAACACCGAAGCGGGTAGACGTTTGGCACTACGATGGTACAAGGAGTATTTATACGGAGTCCTCATCAATCTGACCGTTGTTCAGACCATGAAACTGGTCGTGGGGTCACCGAGACCCCACTTCTTCGACACCTGCCAACCCCAAGAGGCACTAACATGCGTGGGGTAAGTGTATGCATTTTGCCCTCTGAGTTTTTTCTGTATAGTTTTTAGAGTACTTAACAAAATTGTAGGTGCTTTAAGGAAGCCAGTAGAATAGCCTGGTTACCGCAATCACCTTGATACAGAGATGACACACGAAAGTACAATACTTCTACTTCACGCCGTTCTTCTGATAGGCTGTGACACTTCCCTGGATAAGACTATCCATTTGGCAACAGTAGAAAATGATTTCTGGCCATACCACAATAAAAGTACCTACTACCACAATGTTGAATAAGGACTCTCTTTCAATTAATATATGACTTATATGTTTTTATCTCAAACATGTTTTAAATGGAAAAGTGTGCATCAGAATGACTCCAAAGTAGAGTGAGGGTATGACCTGAATAGTTAATTGTTTTATGAATGTTTTTGGGCTTTGAAATGTAGAACTTATACTACACTGCATCTTCATGATCATCATTTACACCTGTTTGAATCCACTGCTGAACATCGGCCTCCTCCATAGACTGCCACAAAGTACTATCCGGAGCCACCTGCATCCATCGACTTCCCACATATTTGCACAAGGCACTATCTAGTAGGGGGGTGTATGATGTCCAGCACAAATATATAACTGTTTGACAGTTTCTATACATTGAAATACTTACACTCCATAATTTCAGTTATACATGTCATCTCTTTCTATATTTTTTTTTAATTTGTGGAAATATCAACAGGCAAGAATACGTGTCTAGTTATACCTGCACCAAGGCCTATTGGCTCACCCAGTCGGACAAGAGTTTCCCTTCCGGCCACACCTCCCTAGCTTTACACGCCGGACTGTTCGTAGCTGTAAGTCATATTTATTATATATTCTTAAATTGTTGTATACTTGTATCTACACATATGTATAGAAGGCCTGCAGAGCAAGAACTTGAGCACTTGCATATGGTGGTTCTTTTTAAAATATAAACAGTACTAATAAAAATATTCTTTTTGAAAGTGATATAATCGTTACTAATACTTATTTATACCTTAATAGAGTCGTGATAGGTCAGTGTCTGGGCACTCGCTTTTAATTCAATATACTCGAGCAACCTCAGTTCAAATCCCAATGCGGGAACTAATGAAATTGGCAATTTTTAGTGCTAAAACTAAACTGCATATTTTTAAATAATAAGAAACGAAATGTTTTGATGATAATTATGTGAAGTCCGCCAATCCGCTGCGAGCTCGCGTGGTGGACTATGCCCTAATACCCTCTGTATGGAGGAGGCCTTTGCGGGACTAAGGCAGTGGGACATGTATAGGCTGTTACTCTTCTTTCACTTTACATGTAGATTTTTGCTAACATTAAACAGAACATTAACTGTGGACCACATAACAGTGTTTGTTGTTGCTCTAATGTGCACTGCACCCTTTCTTAATAGGGTTTAATAATTCCCCCCTAATAAATAATGTTCACAGGGTAATCCCTATCACTTATGTAACATCAATTGACTCTTTGGTCACGTAACGGATTCCAGTACTATCTGGGCCGCCGGTGCGTATTGAGGCCGAAGGCTGTGCACGTGGCGCGGTCGGCGTGCGTTGCTGCCGCCGTCTACTGCGCCGTCTCCCGCCTTTGGGACAATAGACATCACTGGTGGGACGTGCTCGCTGGGGCATTCCTCTCCGGCCCCATCCTCCACTACACCGTGAGTATATTAGATAAGGGTGACATTATGGTAGGGACATTATGGTAGGAATATCGAAAGTAAAGAAATACATCGATATGTTATAACTTGGTATTTGATGACTCCGTGCCGCATTTGCCAAGGTATTGGCTTTGGCGTCGGGGGTTGTGGGTTCGATTCCCACATAGAAGCACTTTTGTGTTTGTCCACTTGAAATTTATGTTTATAATATAACAAAATATACCGATATACCGAACAGAAAATATAGATATATCGGATATAGGTCCTAGAAATCCTTTTGTCCAAAAAAAAGGTATGTCAAGTATTAAATATTTGACACACACGGACTTGGAATTCGAATTTGAAACAATATCGTTTTGGATACGATTTCCGATATTGAACATTTTGTCGTGGGTTCGATTCCTGCACGAGACTATTTGTATGTCCTAGTGATGCTGTTTCTGGTCTGGAGGTTTTTCCACTTCAAATTTCGCTTTGCCACATTCGTTTGCCACCTTCTTACATAAAAGAAGAAAAAATAGATATGTATGTATGACACATTTTTTTTGTTATAAGATCAAATCGCTGTGCGGGGATTTCGAGTGTCCGTCACCGTGTAAAGAAGACAAAGAAGACGCCGTAACAGAGAAGATAAATGGTACCAAAACCAATGGTACTAAAACCGGATAATAATTGTCAATTATAACAGTATTAAAGTGTACATGTGTATACAAAGTAGTTATAAGAAGTTAATATGTAACTATTTATTGAGGCATTCTACATATTAACAGTAAGATATTGTTGTGTGGATAAAATAAGGATTTCTTAATGTTATTGTTGGATGCGAAGAAAATTATGAGCATGTTTGCTATTGCAAAGTTGAATAATATGTTCGATACGATTTAGTACGACAGATCGAGTTCACGGCTCTTTGACGACCTGACCGGCATAATGGATCCCCTGTCTCTTGCGCCAGTTTTGATTCCCCTACTGGAAAAATATTGTGTGATGAACATAGTATTTTTCTAGTGTAGGGGTGTTTAAACATTTATTTATTTACTGAAGAAAAGTATGTTCAAGTATGTTTATCAGTTTTCCAGTATCTATAATGAACTTGGTGTAAAATGTGTCTGAAAATATTTGTTCATTTAGTTTTTGGGTGTTTAAATATATATCAAAGTATGTTTGTCAGTTACTTAGTATCCATAGTACTTGCTGTGCTCATTTCTGGGCTCTTGTGTAGTTATGTCTATTATTTCAAAAATGAAATTGATCCAATATTTTATATTTTTAAGCCTAATGATACATATCATCATACACTTGTATGTAATGCAGTAATTACATATATAAGTTAATAAATATTAGCATAACCAAAACCATTAAAAATCAATCACCAAAGTTTGGGCTGTTATAGATGAGCTTCAGAAAAATATCTAGTTACCAACAACAGTAATAATACTGTTGATAACTTTAAAGTTATTTTAGTCTCGTATTTTTACAAGTGCAAACTATTATGCACTTGTATATTAATTTGCAAAGTTTTATAATATACTGACGCTCGCACTCAATACGTAAGGCTTTACTATAACTAACTACCATTAATTTTTTTAATTCCCAGCTTCATTCTTAAAGAAAATAAACTCAACTTGACATCTAACGATTTTGTTGCGGTAATTGACGCCTTTGATTAACACGCAGTAATAAGCCTATATTTTTGTCTTCCAATTGACAATTAAGCCTTAAATGATTAAAGACGAGGTATAGGTAATACATTCATACTCCATTAATTCTTTTCTTAATTTCTTAAACAGCTTTGCTCAGTATATGGTTCGAAACAGGGTTTTTGATGCATTATATATTATTTGTTTACAACACATATTGGATACAATCACAGAGTTAAAATATTTCTTTTTTTTTTTCATTAAGACTGCATTTACAAGTGTGGTAGCAATTTCAGTGAATGCAAATTGTTTTAATTTTTTTCAATCAATGTACAAAATATACCCATAACCATAACTTAACCAGTTGATAACTAATGAATTTTCTCAAACATATAGTTCTGATATTTATACCTAGTTAAAAGCTTACCAGAATGCATTTTAGCACAACTACTGAATGACCTAATATAACAAAACTCTCACTAGAAATCTAGGTATGCTTTCTAAGTTTCAATGTTTGCTTTGTAAGTTTTAATAGATTATTTTAGTATACTAAAATAACAAAATATGATTTTGTGTGGTTCTCGGGTTTAATTAGCACTAATCCAAAATTGAACACTGAATCGACGATTGTGAGCTGGAGTAGATGCAATTCGTTTTACAAGTTTAATGAATGAAAATTAAATACAAAACATTCTGTATAGATGCGGATTTCTTTTTCACATATGTGTTTGCTCTATACAAATAAATTATCGCTTACCATCAGGTAGGGTTAGTTAAGCGCAAACCGCTGTGATTAAAAAGTATTTTTCATTATTAACATTCCTAACAGTTGTGTGAACAAAGTAACTTCTGCGGAGATCTGTCTAAAATGTATCGTTATTGTTTAAAGGTGTTGTTTCTTCTGTATCAAATGAGGTAAAATCACTTTAAGCTTTTTTTAGTTTTGTCGTAATTTACTTTTTTTTTTTTAATCCTTTTAGAGCTGGTTTGTGATAATGTTGATTTGACATAGTCAAACAAATGCATAAAATGCACCTGCTAATTTTGTATTCCTTTATTCTTTAAGTTTTGTATGTTTTATACTCAATATTAAATGTGTGATATTGTAAAATTAAATGTTTATTTTACATACCCTCTTATTGCCTTTACATGAGTAAGATAATGTAATAAATTTGAGGGAAAATAATTGTTTGTAATATAACGGATAGCAGTTTCTCACTGCAGAGAAAGAAAGTAACACTATTTTGCTAATCAATATGACGGTCCTGTGATTTTGGGTTTTTCAAATGCATGAAAGATATAGTAAACTAGTTATTTATTCTTTAGGGCGAGTGTTAAAGATGGGATGCAGTCTCTATATTACACTGTACAAGGGTGTAGTCATGAACATAGATATTTGGGTATGTTTTAAGGACAATTTTTAGACACTACTGTTCATAGAATGTGAAACCATCTTCATTTATGGGTATTTAAATGTTAAGAGGCACGTTAAAAATGAACCTAATTATGTAAAAAAAAACTAAATTATGTAAATAGGAAACTAACAAAAAAATTCTAAGATTTAAATTTTTATAGTGCTCTCTGTACTCAAGATGGAACATTAAAATTTCGTCAACTTTTAATACTACTAAGATTCTTAGATGCTAAATATTAATTATTACAAAAACATTATTGTCACCGCCCATATACGTCGACATCTGTAGCCTTTACCAATCTTTAAAAGAATGGATGCTGTTTATCTCAGTTACATAAACATCTTGAAATTTGAAATTATGATTCCATCACATACTTCTCTTTTGAAAATTTTCCGGGGGATACTCTAATATCACTGTATGTCTAATATCGCTTATATAGTTATACAAGCTAAGGTAACATTATAGTAAATATGCATGATATAGCAGTGTAATTCTAACAGTGGTAGGGCCACGCAGCAGACTAAGCTATTTCACGAATGGGCAGGCTCGTCCGGGTAAGTACCACAAACTCACAGAAGACCGGCGTAAAGTGGAAGTATAATACTTTCGCGTTTCGTCTGGTAAGTGAGGTAGCCGGAGCCCAATTTCCAAAAAGGTTGTCAACGCATCTGCAAACCCTCGGGTGTAGCAGATTTCCATGGACGGCGGTATTCACTTAACATCAGGTGAACCGTCTGCTCGTTTGGTAAATTTTCACATAAAAAAATTGGTATATTTTTAATAGATAAATTATTTTGGTGGTATCTGTAGACTCTGCTAAAACAAAACTTAGTATAATCCATATTGATAAGCTTTCACCAGACTTCACACGGATATAAAGTGTTAAAATCGTATTCAGACATTTATGATTAATAAAAATTAAGACATCAAATAGACGACAATAAATGCCTTTATTCAAATTCTTCAATGCTTAAATAAATCACAATATACAATTATTATCGAAATCTAGAAATGCAGTATTACGACTTTAATAAAAAAAATGAGGAGGAATATAATAAAACACTGGAGGAATAAGAAGACATATTTTAAAATCTACACATTGTAGGAATTTGAATTTTCTTTCTTTCTTTCCTTAAGAGAATGCAAATAACGCCAAAAGATAACAAACAAGGCCATTTAAATTTTAACATCCTGCCTTATGAAACATAAAAATGTGGTAAGAGCATAAAACATTGCTGTTTATTAATAAATAAATGTTAACAAGGAAACATTAATTGTGTCGAGGAATTCTGAACTTTATGCAAGAGGTATCAGTGGCCGATGTCTGTTGTATTATTTGGGCAGCTCACTGTCATCCGAGAGGGTCTTCTCCTTGACTTGCTTGTTGAGATGCTCGATGAGTGCCTCCACGGTCATCTCTCCGTGCACTTTGTTGTCCCTGGTGCGGACGTTCACAGTGCCAGAGTTCTTCTCGCGTTCGCCTACGACTGTGAGAAGAAATTTCTAGTTTACAGATGGTATATAATATTCATTTCCATATGACTTATGTCCATGGGCAATGGTATACACTTAACATAAGGTGAACCGTCTGCACACTTGGCAACTTTTCACAAAAAAAAAAAAATAAGGTCCCGATTCTTCAGCAGCCAGTGATAATTTCACTGAATAGACCCGGAAACAACAATATGTAAAATTGGGGACTTTTAAATATTTTAATAGGGCGTCGGGCCCTAAGGTCTGGGTCAATAAACTTTACAAAAGGTGTTGTGCCCTCACCCAGAATGTAGTTGAACTGTGCCAGCTGTGCGTTGCGCACCTTCTTGTTGAGCGTATCGCCGGGATCAGTGTCCACTTCGGACATGAAACCGCTCGCGAAAAGTTTCTCGTTCACCTGGAATGTATTGTTTTTGTTTAGTTAAGTTGTTAACATTTAAAACTTAATTTATTGAACATTGTTTCAAACTTATGCAGGTACGATCTACTTAAGTTTTTTATCCACAAGTACGCACAAACGTACGCTCTTACGGTTTTATAGAAATAACAAATCCTGACTTGGACGCCGCTTTATAGCAACCGTGGCAAACCAGTTTCCCGGCAAAATTCGGAATAATTGTTTGTCGGTTGTCGGCAAATGACCACATCAACACGCTCGGGTTATCACATCAGCACGCACACATAATCTAATCAATATGCAAAAGTGATCAAATATTCATTCACGACTATTTTCACGTCTGAACTTCCACATGTACAAGCGACCGCGTGAACATGCACATCAGCATGCACACTTGACCACATGAACGAACATGCACGCGTGATCAAATCATCTTGCAAATGCGACCACTTCCATATGCACACGCGACCACGTGAACATGCCCATGTCAGCGGCGAAGCACACTCGACCACGTGAACATGCGCACGCGACCACGTGAACATGCGCACGCGACCACGTGAACATGCGCACGCGACCACGTGAGCATGCGCACGCGACCACGTGAACATGCGCACGCGACCACGTGAGCATGCGCACGCGACCACGTGAACATGCTCACGCGACCACGTGAACATGCGCACGCGACCACGTGAACATGCGCACGCGACCACGTGAACATGCTCACGCGACTACGTGAACATGCGCACGCGACCACGTGAACATGCACATGTCGGCGGCGAAAGGATGGCGTAGGGCGTGTACTAACGCTGACTGCGTACTGGTCCAGCGACGGCCCCACCGGCACCACGCACACCTGCCGCGGGCTGAGCCACAGCGGCCACTTGCCGGCGTACGACTCGCTCAGGATGGCCACCATCCGCTCCACGGAGCCCAGGATGGCCCGGTGGATGATCACCGGCCGCTTCTTCTCGCCGCTCTCGCTGTGGCAAACATCTTAAACTTGGAAACTTCCAAGAAGAAGAGAAGGGAGTCTCCTACTCTCTTCTGTTGTTATTAAAAATGTTCGTCGTTCTCGCGGTGAAAAAAATTCCAATAACTTGGCAAGATTCAAGAAGGGAATCTCCCATTACTATTGTTATCAAAAATTTTAATAATGAAGGTCGCTACTTCACGAAGGGAGTCTCTATTGTCTGTTGTTATCTAAAATGTTCGGAGGCTCTCGCTGTGACAAAATAAGCAACCTCAAAGAAGGGAGTCTTTATTTTGTCATATAAAATTCTGGCAAAAATTAATCCTCCTGTCCCAACCCGCATTAGATTCGTTCATTGGCCGATTTCAGTCGTAATGAGCTGTAGTAAGAATTATATGTATCAGACATGACGCAAAAAAAGCATCAATATTATTTATTTCAAAGCGCAAAAAAGTAAGCGTAATTTTTAGATTATTATTATACAAACAATGGCGTTGCTATATACTATAAATAATAGCCAGATGTAATATCTGATTTATCCATGCAATCATAATAATGTCATTTGTACTCGATCGTTTTCGTCACGCGACAGACAGCTGAGCACTGTTCAGAGCCGAGCAAGGTTCAGGACTGAGCAATGCTCGGAATGCTCAATGCTCAGGGCCCGGAGCGGACCCATCGCCTCTCACCTGACGTAGGTGAGGTTGAACCGCTCCGGCAGCTGGAAGTCGAGCTGGATCGTGGCGCACTGGTGCGATCTACGCAGAGCGTCCTGTATGGTGATGTCGATCTTGGGCCCGTAGAACGCCCCGTCGCCAGGGTTCAGCTGCCACGGCCGCCCGAACTTGTTCAGGGACTCCTCCAAGGCCTGGGGTCAGATAACGAAGGTTTGGCACTGTATTTGGAAGGGGTTGGAAGTCCCAATGACTGTTGGAAACTGGAAGATCTATCGTACTCTTCACTTCGATAACATTTGTTGCATAGGATAAGATTATACTATGCTGTTTTAAGGGACTGCAGAGGGCCTGGGGAGGTAACCGAGGTTTTGTATTTTATTGTTCTTGTGTGAAAGTGGATGAGTAGAAGTCCCAACAACCACTACAAACTCGAATTAGAACTATGTGTTGTAGTCTTCCTTTCGAAAACATTACCCCCTTACTGTAGGATAACATTATCCTGTGTTGTAAGGATGATTTACATGCATAAATTTCACGTGGATAAACACCCAGATCCGAAACAATTGTCAGTGAGTCACAAAAATAGCCCTGATAGCCCAATGTCCGGGCTCGCATTTAATTGAGCTAGGATAATTTAGTTAAGCTAAATAATCAAGCAACCTGAGTTCATTCCCCGGTGAAATTGTTAATTTTGTGCTGACTTATCACATGCTCAGCGCTAAATGAAAACATCAATGAGGAAACCTGCATATAATAACATTCGAAATAATAACAAAAAAAAATATTTCGAAGATATGTGAAGTCCGCCGATCCGCAGTGGGGCCACGTGGTGCCGTAATAGGAGCCCTTTGCCCAGCAGTGGGACAAAAACATATAGGCTTTAAACTTTACTATCACAAATATAGCCGTCTTGTGTGGGAATCGAACACCCGACCCCCGACGCCGAAGCCAATACCTTGGCAACTGCGACACGGAGTCATCTGACCCTGGTCATACATAGGGCGCTTGCGTTAAAACCATTCTGCGGTGGCGACAGTGTCACCAGCTAACCTTCTCTGCTTGCTCCCAACTGGCCAGGTCGCCAAGGTACTTCTCGGGCCTGGTGGATAATTTCAGCTGGAACGTGAACCCGAAGGTCGAGTACACGCAGTCGAGGAACTCCAGACAGGCGACCTGCAGGCAGACAAACATTTCACTTTCAACTTTTTATAAGAAATATAAATATATACCTCAGCTTGATCCCCGATTAATGAAAGTGTTAATTTAAAGTACTGAAATATCACCTGGTCAGCGGTGAACGAAAACATCGTGAGGAAACCTGTATTTTTTCAATATAACAACAAATAAAATGTTTCGAAGATATGTGAATCCGTCCGTAATGGGGCCATGTGGTCAACTATGCCTTAATACCCTCTGTTCAGAAGAGGCCTTTGCTCAGCAGTGGGATATCTGATAGGATATATAGGCTATTTACTGTTACTTTAAATGTTAAACCATTCATTTTATGTATATTATTTGATGCATTTTATCGACTAAATTTAATAGTGTGTAACCTGTATTGGCTTTTAAAGAATGAATCAATATTCTTATTATACATCCCATATATAGGCCGTTACTTCACCTTTTTGTATAAGAAAGTGGTTAAAGCGAAGGGTTATTTTATTTAGTTAAACTTTAGGCACAGACTAGTACAAAGGCGGACTTAGTGTCAATTGCTTTTTCTAACAGTTAACTTTAGGGTGGTGTTGAGAAAATGATATGAAATGCACAAAACGAAAAATCTGCGGTGAACGGTTTTGAATAGCAATTTGCATTGGATTCGAACTTGGATGAGACTATGACCACACAGAAGACCGGTGTGAAGTATAACAATTCTGCGTTCTGGTGAGTGAGGTAGCCGATGCCCACTCTATTTAAAGTTGACAACGCATCTGCAAACCCACGGGTTGTCTAAATCCATGGGCAGCGGTCATCACTTAACTTCGTATGAACCGCCAGCTCGCTTACCTTCACTACATAGTATAAAACTAAGTCGTCCCGCTGTCTGTCTGTCCCTATGTATGCTTAGATCATAAAAACTACGCAACGGACCTTGATGCGGTTTCCTTTACTAGATAGAGTGATTCGAGAGGAAGGTTTATATGTATAATATATTACACCCGTGCGAAACCGGGGCGGGTAGCTAGTCTCACATAAAAAAAGAGTCCGTCTAGTAGCACAAGGCAGTAATAGCCCCAGTGACAATCTTTTAAGCTATTGCATAGCTTTTATCGCGGAATTTGAGCGCGGCGACCGAATCAAGAAATTCCGTAACGAAAATAAAAACCTAACACCTCCCACTCCGTTTACCGTGTAGCTCGGCCGAGCGTTCGCTTAACCTGTATGTATATGGTATGAAGTTACCATAAACCTATAGTTTCAATGATAAAAATTTCCTGAATAGCCCACATGTATTGTAAGATGATAAAAATATTCTAAACGATATCAACGACTCACATATTCAAGAAAAGAAAAAAAAAATTGTCATCTTATCGGTCACCAAACTCGAAAAGTGTAACTTGAATCAATATTGAAGAAAAAAGACAATAAATGCATAAATAAAAAATAATTATAATTGAACAAATTGATGATGATTGATGCTATGCAATAGCTTCACCGCGGCAGCCCCCGAGTGGCACTGGTTTTTTTTTTTTTTTTTTTTTTTCTTCCCTTAACCCTACCATCTCCCCGGCGATGTGGTGCGGCGCGCAGAAGATGTGCGCGTCGTCCTGCTGGAAGCGGCGCACGCGCGTCAGGCCCGTGAGCGCGCCGCTGAGCTCGTTGCGGTGCAGCACCCCGAAGTCCGCCAGCCGCAGCGGCAGCTCGCGCCACGAGCGCGTGCGGTTGTCGAACATCAGGCTGCGGGGGCGGGGAGTTCGATTAAGTTTCGTTACGAGTTCGAAATAGATTTACGTTTTTCACTTTACGTCTCGTAATTGGTTTGGAACGTACGAACGGGTGCGGTTGTCGAACATTGTGCTGCGGCGGGAAGTTCAATTATGCTTCGTTACGAGTATTTACGAGTTTAAATTCGATTTACGTCTTTCATTTTATTTTTCTTACTACAACTTTCATCAGGCGTATTTAAGTTTTTCACTTAAATATCGTCATTTACTTTTAAATCAACGAACGGGTACGGATGTCAAACATCAGGTTGCGGCGGGGAATTCAATTACGTTTTTCAATTCAAAATTCGTCATTTATTTTAAAACAAAATATTTTATCATTATTTTTTTTGTGTATTTATCCCTTTTTTGTTGGGATGATACCTTCCATAATTTTTAAAAAAGTTTCAATTTTTGTAGATGTCAGCTCGTTTGCCATGTTCTTAAATAACAAAATGATAATGCCCTTTATCAACATTTTTACAAAACTTTACTACTTGTATAAAGCAAACTTTGACGTTTATACAAGTAGCATTGATGCAATTAAATGACATGAGTCAGACAGTGTCTTACCAGTGTCCTGGGCAGTTCATGGGCTTCAGCGCGAAGGTTTCTTTCTCCACGTCGAAAGAAAACATGTTCTCAGCGTAGTGAGCCCAATGTCCCGAAGTCTGCCAGAGCTTAGCGTTGTACATGTTTGGTGTGACCACCTCATGGAAACCCCGCTGCCTGGGAAATGAAATCAGTAATGAAAACCATATGTTCATCAATGTAGGGTAGATGTGAAATTTGGATGGAGTGAAATTTTAAGATGTAACACAAAAAACACACCTTTGCAGCTGCCCGCAAATTTTTATAGATGGCAGCATATTCTCAATCACATTCGCCCGTTACAGTTCGCGTTAAAGAATATAGATGGCGCTTTCATAATTTTACTCTATTTTTGTACATTTGTATGCGTAAATATATTATATCTATACAAATCCGACAACTTATAAAAAAAAGTGGACCGAATTGTAAATGTAATCAGGTTGATTCGAGAAAGGTTTATTCTCGGATCGACGAAGTTGGGTCAAGTGTTGCCAAGAGTTGTATTGGGCATGGAAATGGTCAAATATTATGTTACAAACGAGTCAAAACTACTGTACATATTTTAAAGTTTTGAAGAGATCAAAACTTTTTATTGTGTCAAAGAAAGGTCTCTGTTAAGAAATATTTTGTATTTACCTATACTGTTCCTTTATAAAGTTCACCAGAGTGTTGTATATGTGAGCGCCGCGCGGTTGGAAGAAGCAAGAACCAGGCGATAGCTCGTGGAAGAAGAACAGCTCTTGTTCCTAAAGAGACAATTTTCATATTGGTATCACTATTAATTGGACAATTTTATATCATTGGACGAAGGTAGTTTGGATTCAAAACTGCAGCAGCACAAAAAGATATTTGGCTCACCAGCCTGACCGATTCCACCTGGTGGTATGCTATGCATCAATAGATTCACTCCACATGCCAGAAAGTTGTTCCATTTCTTTACATGATGAATAAATATCTTGGTTCGCGCGAAAATATAGATGACCGATAATGGAAATAATTCTATGCAACTCTAACAAATAAGTTAAAAGCCCACACAACAAATGGCCCTATGCTGTGACATAAAAGTGTAGACAATAAAAATTTGTTTCAACGAAATTATAGTTATGACAATACCCTTCCAATCTTTCTATGATCTCGTTTGGCAGCTTCCTCCTGAATTATTTCCCACTCCTTGAGTTGTTTCGGCTCGGGGAATGATACACCGTATACCCTCTGCAGGCTTTCAGCGTCGGCCCTCCCTTCCCAATATGAGGCGGAATTCTGTAAGCGGTAATGAGTTAACAATAAAACAGTTTATTACTATGATAAAGGAAAAGGACAATTTCAAGTTACTACTCAAGTGTTTACTAAGGTGTAAATTAACAATCCCAACATATTGAGTTTTCACAGCTTTAAGATTTTAAGTTTATATTTTAACATTGCTAACCTTAGTGACTTTGAGTGCCTTAACTTTCCCCGTGTGGCGTACATGTGGACCTCTGCATAGGTCAATGAGGGGTCCGCACCTGTACACAGTGGTTGTGGGAGTGTCCACTTTCTCCTTTAGAATGCGCACTTTGAATGGGTTGTAGTTGAACATTTCTAGAAGCTGCTCTTTGGTGAGCTCCAATCTCTCGAAGGGCTGTTTCTCTTTAGCAATCTTCTTTATTAAGCCTTCTAACACGTGGAAGTCAGACGACGAAACCTGTAGAAGAGGGGCTTATACTTTTTGTTCTTCTATTTGTTTGTTGCATAATTAAATTCTAAGTGTGCAGTTTCATGATTAGCAATATTATATAAAAGTATATAATGATATCATAGCAAACACTACATAATACATATTTCATTTTCATTTAATATAATGTATTATATTCATGTTTCATCTTACAAATGTCACATATCAAACACATAATATTATTACACAAATTATCTTTTACTCTTTTATTTAAGTTACATTTAAGAAAAATAATACACAAAAAAAGATTTTTAAAGCAATAAGCTACTAATTACAATTTGAGAAATTATAATATAGCAATTGTGAAACACTTTGTAAACATTAGTAAAATAATTCACAAAAATCAAAAGGATGGCATATTGACTTTTGTTAATTGGTGTATAATGATATTCTAAGTATTTGTTAAATTATTTCTATTATTGTTAAATAGCCCTTACCCCTTTGTCTGGCTGATACATATCATAGTAGAAGCCCTCTTCTATTGGGGGTCCATAACACAGACAGCCACCATACACCTATAGATATGAAGAAATATCCAAAATATAATAATTGGTAATCAGTGCAAACATTTATTAGGGCTTAACACAGTGTTGCGTGGCCCTACCACAGCTAAGTCTGGATTATAGTTTTAATTTAAAATAAACTTTATTAATATCCAGAATACTTTAATTTAATAATGTATAATATTCATGTAAATATAAGAAATTATTTATTGTTAGCTAAAATAAATGTGAATTTGTGTAGATAAATGAATAAAAAGTTTGCGCTGTGGGGTTAACCTGTGTCTAATGGGTAACGCACCCAGACCCTTTATCAATTAAGCTAAGCGGCTGAGGATTGCACGGCGCGAAAATCTTTCGATATTTATGTTGATCTATGTACATTCTTTTTATTAAATGAAGGAAAACATGTACACGACAAAACACATACAATAATCTTATTAGGACTTGTAGGTATTCTGGCCTCTAATGAAATGTGCATGGCAATGGTAAAAATTATGATATAACTGTATAACATACCCTTTCCATTGCTTCACCAAGCATATGTGCAGAGGAGTGCCAGAACACAGCTTGTGCATCGGTGTTATCCCAACGTAGAAGTTCCAATTTACAGTCTCCCTCCAAAGGACGGTCTAAGTCCCACAACACTCCGTTTACCCGAGCAATGATAGTTGAGTCTGCTAGGCCTTGACTGGAATGGAAACAACAGATTTTATTAATAAGGTATCTAAATGACTTAGTGCAATTGATGAGGAAAATATATAATAATTATAATTTGTGTGTATTCTGGCAAGTATAGTACAAAGTTGTCTTCTTCCTATATTTTACTATTCAGTCTATAGAAGACAAGCTTAAGAGTATAAATAAGCATATATATAACAATTCAATGCTTTAAGTTATACAAGTTTTATAACATACAATTTTTTTTATTGTAATAAAATAATATAAATGTTCCATCTTAAACAATAAATACTATACAAATAATAATGTTTTGCAAATGTGTTGTTTAGGCCACAGACATCATCTATATTCTATATCAATTGTATACTCACAATTGACTCCAAAACTCGCTTGTGAGCCCAGAAATAAGGGTTTAATGTTAAGTTCTATTATAAAATTGTGAAATGATTAAATATAAACAATGTGCTAATACCATATTGGTAGCTACAATAGCATGAAATAAAAGGAAATGCAAGCAAAACTATTTTGAGAAGGAGTGATATAAAAGTGAGCATGCAAAGTAGAGCATTAATTTATGATTTTCACTAAAAGGTTAAAAATTGTGTATACAAATTTATATGCATTTATTTAAATGAATATTAGTTCTTATAATAATTAATTAACATGGTTGGTTTATTTTATAATTTAATCATGAATATTGCCAAATAAAACAAAAAGCTTTGATAAATCATACTTATAGCCAAAAGCAATACACCAACAACATGAAGAATGACTATTTAACTCAAAAATAGAGAAAGTGGTACCTGATGCCTTTGGCAACATCGTATGGAGTAGTTCTCCAAGCATTTGCTTCAACAGTCTTCCCGTCTGGGAGTGTAACGACTATGCTCATTTCTGGTTTTGCTGCCAATTCTTCCTGGTATTGAATCTTGTACTTATCCCAGAGCTCTATTCGCTTCTGAATGAATTCCGGCCATGGATTCAGCTCTGAGACCGCTCCCGAAGAGTCATCAGGCTTTTTCTTTTTATCTTTCATTGCTTTAGTTTTTGACTGCAAGTGAGAATTTTGATTAATTGTCATTACTATTTATTTGGAAGCAATAAAGGAATACGGAATAAGGGAAACATATGGGGTAAAATTAACATATGTTCTAGTATAAATTAACTGTTGTATAAAATCTTGAACTTTTGAAATAAAGTTCAATGGAGGAATATAAAGAATTAATAGACATTAAAAAGCCCTCGACTATTACGAGGATATGCAGTGAATCAGTTATGTCGAAGGTCTCCTACCCATGTGGCATAGGCTTCTTTGAAGCGGACCACGCAGGATCTACGTACGCTTAACAATTTTAACATCTTTCAAGTAATATACAAATTAATTGTTACGCATTAAATATATGGGTTAGTTTCCTGCCTTTTCGTTAATATTTAGTTTCTCAACTTCTTCAGCATTCGCGTCACCCATTGCACTCACTCACGTCGCGTGTCTTGCCCAGTTGTCAAACAAGAATGGACACAGGACTAGGGATGAGGCGTATATACTGGAACAGGTATAAATACCCAGTATGAACATGCCAGTACGCACACCGGGTATGTACGGCAGAGGCCCGTTCCATACCCGATAGGTATGGCTGGGTATGAACGCCTCGTCCGACGGTGGCGGAATATAACGCTCGCGACAACCCGCCGGCATACCGGGTATGACGTATGTACGGCAGAGGCCCGTTCCATACCCGATAGGTATGGCTATGGCCGCCTCGTCCGAAACAGTAATAATATTAATAATATATAATACATAAATATAAAACAGTAAATACAATAAAACAGTAATATTTATTTTGAATTACTTTTTTTTATAATAGGGTTCTTTACGTTGGTAAAGATGGAGCTTAATTTAGACTGATTAAATCTCAATTAAAAAAAAATGATTGCTAAAAAAACATCTAAATGTTCCAATTCCAACCAAATAAAGGTTCAATTCCATACCGGGTCTCCATTAGGAGGCCTGAACATAACTAATACCTATAGGTATTTTGATACTGGGTTTTAGCACCGGTGATACGGCGATACCCGTACCTTTGAGGCCGGGTATAGAATGTTGCAGGTATATCTCATGCCTACACAGGACATTTCACATCTGTCTTCTTGACGTTGACAATCTATATAATTTTTAATGATGCATTAAAAATGGGAAAATGTAAATAACTTTAACTCTGGCGTAATTCCATTAAAATAAATTTTAAACGATAGAGAAAAATCTCTAATGAATTAATCAACAAGCAGAATTCGGATTAGCGTCCTGTAAAACCATGGTGTTTCATCGAACAAGCTAGCTAACAGCAGAAAGCAGCTGCTGTGTGACTGTGAACGCACATTGACTGGGTAAAATTATGTAGGCTAGGAGCGCTGAAACCATTCCGGAATGCAGGTGTACAAAGTTTTTAAAGTGTGAAGTTTTACTAAAGCATTACCAACTGTACTTATACTACAACTGGCTTCACTTGTATGGAGGGTGTGATTTTTTATTTAAGCATCTTCAGTGAGCGTAACCCTCAAAGGCCTGTTTGTCATATTTTTTTATAATAACAATGGAGCAAACGAATGTCACTCTAATTATTTCCTCTGATCGTCTGCGTTATATTTCTCATATTTTACGTAAAAAAAACATTTAAAAATTAGATGGCATAATTTGGAGCAGTAAACTCAACCATTTTTTAGAAATTCACTAGGTACATCCACGTTATAGGGCGATTCTCACCGCCTCCAGCCACCGACTAACCAAGCACAGTCAACGGCCATCGGGGTCACGGTCCGCACTGAACGTCGATGGCCCGTAGGCGACATGCCATAATTAAAGCACTAAGGAGGGCCTCAAACCCGTGGATTTTGAGTAGCCGATCGGTTCTGCGTTCGATGAAGCTTTAATAGTCTAAGGACTGAAAGCGTAACATCAGTTATACAAAACTTTTTAGAGTTTTGAAGTCAAGCCTTTTTTTTAGCAAATGCCCGGTCTTTAAAATGTATCATTATATTTTAAACTCTATTTTCGATACTTCTATTTTTTCCATAAAAAGTAATCAAATTTTAATTTGATTAAATTCATAACTTTGGTTAAAAAAACTAATCATGGGATAAAAATATGCTCTTAGAAAGCATGTAAAATATTAGTATAGATTAAAAGTATACTTCTAACGAAAACCCTAAAACCCCAAAACCCCAAAATAAAAATTGCATATTATTTTGAACGAGTTTGTACACGAAAGTATGGAAGGTAAGGTAAGGAAAAGGGATTCCTGCAATTTCGGTCGCTCGATAAGAAAGTAACAATGCTCAACGCAAAACATCGGTAATCAAAACACTTGATTTGTCGCATTTACGAAAATACTAAAATTACGTGTTGCCGGCGATAACATTGCCTATCTATGAAAAGTAAGTGAAAGCTTGCGTCCTGTATAGATCTAGAGAAATTAAATAACACAGATAAAAACTTATAATAGATAACAAGGGAAGGATTTGCGTTTTTTTTACATATTTTTATTCGGTGGCGCAGATGCTAAGCCGGACCACCACCGATTGGTTTCGGTACCGAGGGTCGTGGGTTCGATTCCCACACGATACACGTATGTGTGTTAACCACAGATAAGTTCACAGTTCCGGAACTAGATGATTGTTCGCATGGAAGTTTAACATCAGGTGGGTAAAAAAAAATCTAGCCAATACTATTAATAAGATGATTCACACGTTGTGGGAGCCTCACATAGCTGTGATAAGGTTAGGAGAAATAAGAAGACATATTTAAAATTTATGTAACAAACCGTTTATTTTATATTCAATTTTTATGAAATACGCAAAAATGTATGTGCAAATATTACATCACGGTAATTATGTTGAATATAGCTACTTTTATAAATCTTCGTTCAAATACAAACTGTCGAAGGTAACAAAGTGTTTTTAAAGGCGGTTCAAATAAGGGTCAGTCTTGCACATTCGTGCAACAACGAAGCGTGGCCCTATCACAGCAACTATTATTTGGTTATAAATAAATGCATAGCCGCAGTAATACAGAGCCGTGATAGATCATTGTCCGGGCGCTCGCTTTTAATTTATCTGCTGAAATAGTTAATTTATCTGCTGACTTATCGCGTGCTCAGCGGTGCGGGAAAACATAGTGAGGAAACCTGCAAATTTTCGAAATACTAATAAACAAATTAATGTTTCGAAGATGTGTGAAATCTGTTAATCCGCGATGGGGTCGCGGGGTGGACTATGCCCTAATACAGGAGGCCTTTGACCGGCAGTGAGACAAAAAAATGGGCTGTTACTTTAATAAGCCACATGCGCTGTTACTTTAATAAGCCACATGCGCTGTTAATTTAATAGGCCATATGCGCTGTTACTTTAATAAGCCACATGCGCTGTTACTTTAATAAGCCACATGCGCTGTTACTTTAATAAGCCACATGCGCTGTTACTTTAATAAGCCACATGCGCTGTTACTTTAATAAGCCACATGCGCTGTTACTTTAATAAGCCACATGCGCTGTTACTTTAATAAGCCACATGCGCTGTTACTTTAATAAGCCACATGCGCTGTTACTTTAATAAGCCACATGCGCTGTTACTTTAATAAGCCACATGCGCTGTTACTTTAATAAGCCACATGCGCTGTTACTTTAATAAGCCACATGCGCTGTTACTTTAATAAGCCACATGCGCTGTTACTTTAATAAGCCACATGCGCTGTTAATTTAATAGGCCACATGCGCTGTTACTTTAATAAGCCACATGCGCTGTTACTTTAATAAGCCACATGCGCTGTTACTTTAATAAGCCACATGCGCTGTTACTTTAATAAGCCACACGCGCTGTTACTTTAATAAGCTACATGCGCTGTTACTTTAATAAGCCACATTTTTTTTTTATGAGAAAAGTTGCCAAACGAACAGACGGTTAACCTGATGTTAAGTGAATACCGCCGCCCATGGACATCTGCTACACCCGAGGGCTGCAGATGCGTTGGCAACCTTTATGGAAATTGGGCTCCGGCCACCTCACTCACCAGACGAAACGCGAAAGTATTATACTTCCACTTTACGCCGGTCTTCTGTGAGGTCGTGGTACTTACCCGGACGAGCCTGCCCATTCGTGCAACAGCCGAGGCTGCTGCATAGCCCTACCACCGTTCATGCGTGCACTTTGGATGTAATGATCTCGAGTAGAAGGATTAACATGGACATCGCTGCGCCGTACAGCATCAGAGCCAGTACCGGCCGAAGGTCTCTTAGTCCGACGCTGCTGAACGCCGCAATTCTGTGCGTGCATTGGGGCTTCGGCACCTGCAGACGCCTGTTCAGAGCTGACTGCAGACCGAACTCGCGGATTTGCTTGAAGCTGTGGAAGAGTTCGAGCTGATCATTTTAATGCTAGAGAGGTAGAGTAGCTAGAGAGGTTACAATCTCAATTGATGTAGGCACAAGGCGCAGTAACTTTAACGTCAACAGCTGGAGTCCCAGAGCTGTCCACCGTTGCATATTTTGACCATATTGTTGATTTTATCATAGAGATAACTCCATCTTCTACTTCCTCCGTAAGGTGGCAGCAACATGTGAATCATGTTGTTCATGGTATTGGCTATGGTTAGCGTTATAGCAAATGGCCGCCTACCCGACGTCAACTCTCCTTGGCAATTAACACTCAGATATGGAAAAATTATCTGTGGATCACATGAAAGTGACAATCTAATCCACCACTCCCGGCGGCTAAGCAAATATCTACCAAACCATAATAAGAGCATAGAGGTTGCTATGTTTTCAGTTAATACAAAATTTGATATAGAGCCGTGATAGCTCAGTGTCCGGGCGCTCGCCTTTAATTCAATATACTCGAGCAACCTGAGTTCGATCCCCGGTGCCGGCACCAATGAAGTTTTTAACTTTAAGTGCTGACTTATCACGTGCTCCGCGGTGAAGGAAAACATCGTGAGGAAACCTGCATATTTTCGAAATAATAACAAAAAAAAAAATATTTCGAAGATATGTGAAGTCCACCAATCCGCAGTGGGGCCGCGTGGTGGACTATGCCCTGATACCCTCTGTATAGAGGAGGCCTTTGCCCAGCAGTGGGACATGTATAGGCTGTTACTTTACTTTACTTTTTACTACAAAAATTTGATCACGACAATTATCATGGTTGCTCCGTATAGTGTGATGACTGCAGTAGTATAGTACCTGACCTCAGTACCTGACCTCAGTACCTGACTCTCAGCAGCTCCAAGTAAGGCGAGTCCTTCTTCACCGGTACGTAGGGGTCGAAGCCCAACATGAAGTCTACCTCGACCAGGTCGCACTTCTCCATCGCGTGGAAGGTCTGCTCCACGCGACGGTACACCGGCTCCACTATAGAGTGGAAGGCGAACAAGCCCTGAGTTCAAAATCGGCTTTGTCATTAGAAAGTTTAACGATAAACATCCTTACTTCCTTACTAGTATTATAAACGCGAAAGTTTGTATGTACGGATGGATGTTTGTTACTCTTTCAAGCAAATACTACTGAATGGATTTTGATGAAACTTTAAAATAATATAGCATCAGAATTATAATATAACACATAGGCTATAATTTATATACATATTTCTATGTATATCTGAATGTAACGCCTTCAGCTATTCTACGTAGGCGAGTCGCGGGCAGCAGTAATCTATAATAATATATTGTATGTATCTGGTTATCTAGATATGTAAAAAAGCGAATTGTTTTAAAGCTGTTTAAATAAGCAAGCAGGCGATTCACCACTTGTTAGGTGTTTCAGCGCCCATGCGCTGGTTAACTACCAGTAGGGTTGCAGATGAACTGGAATGCCTTAAAATATTAGGCACTGTACACCTCAATAAACAGACCAAACGCAAAAGCGTGATACTTTAACTTCACGATTGAAGTGATAGTATTTATGTCTAATCCTATCTATCCGTATCTAGTCTTATAAATTAAAATTAATCATAATGTCTATTATAATAAGAAGTTGTTATAATGAATAATCGCAATAATGGCTTCGATCATAATATAAAGAGACAAATTGCCATAAGTAAAAGGTCTAAAGTTAAATAAATATAACTGCAACACATTTTTATTACATTACGGAGGAAATACTGCCACAGATCCGCAAATTAAATATAGAACTAGTCTATCGTCAAGATGCATTTAGTTTCATAGCTGTTACTATGATGCGTACGAGAACTTCTATATATTTTCCACATGAACAACCGTACTCATAACCCTCATATAGTTTTCTTCACTAGCGTTTAAATCAGTTATTTATTAAATGGTATCTTGTTATAAATAGTTGTTGTAGTTGATACTCTTATAATAAATTAAATTATTTACTTAAAATATTAACCTGTCTTATTTTTTCAACGCCCTCGTTGATTGTGTAAAAGTGCGGTTTTCCTTTAGGCGGTTTAACTCTATTCGTGATTTCCACTCGCACCGGATCAGAATACATCTGTGGGGTGAATTAATACAAACGGTTTTTTTTTTATTCAGGCAGGAATGAGCGTAATAAAATAACTCCCTTAACACAGAAGTATGTTTGATTTTTTTTTTAATTTTATGTTGTTTATATGTGTTTATTTACAAAAGAAAAGTAATTGTATAAGTAGGTATATCGCTTATGCAGTAGGTACCTAGTAAAAGCTTTGCTTAGTTTCAGACTAGATAACTTTGTGTTTGTTTTGTGTTAACGATGTTTTTATTTCTTTTTTTATGTGAGACGCTGGCAAGCGAGGTGGCGGTTCACCTGATGTGAGGTGATTAACACAGCCCATTGACTTTTAATAAAGTGTGCCCAGGCTACCTCACTCAATAGACAAAGCGCAGAAGCATAACGCTTACAATTCACGCCAGTCTCCTGTGAGTTCTTGGTACTGATCTGGACGGACTTGACCGATCAACAGGAGACATTAAATATATAAATAATAAATAAATGTTATTAGGACACGTTTTTACACAACGTTCTCTAGGCCCGAACTAGTTATCGCTGTACTATGGCTATCGTATAACTGATAAACATACTTAAACATACTTTTCTTTTGTAAATAGATACATATTATTAATTTATAAACACCCAGAGACTAGAAAAACACTATGTTCATCACAAAATATTTTTCTATCCCACTCCCTCTGTCGCAGAAGGCAGGTACACTATCCACTACGCCATTCGGGAAATTATATTTATATTTATTCGCCAAATTATATTTATCTTTATATTCCGAGTGTACAGCGTACGCGTGGATATCCCGTAAATCATAATATAGCGCCATTACGCAACTCACGCCGAAAACGAAACGGTTGTAATCTACGTCGTTGGCGGCCAGCGTGAGCTTCGAGTGGGAGAGCTGCTTTAGAGTCCTCACAGCGGCGGAGGGCGCTTGAAGCAGAACCACGATGTTCGCCGAGTACGCGGCGTAAAGCGCCATAAGCGCTGCAAACACCACCCACAGTGCCATTCGTCCTGGCGGGGAAACATGACTGGCTTACCACCGTGAATTTCATATTATGTAAATACTGAGAGGGAGAGAGATAGCTGATGCTCTCCACTCCTTCATGAGCTTAGAAAACAGTTAAATCACTGTTTTATTATTACTAGAAGGTGCCAGACATTCAGAATATTAAATTAAATTCGAAATTTGAAAAATAACCAAATTTAATCTATCATATCAATTTTAAAAAAGGTGTATTACATGCAGATTGTATTAATTTGTCATTTAGAAACAATGCTTACGTTTAAGAATAAAAATAACCTTTACTCAAATTACAAAGTTTTTTACAAAATTACAAGCACATTTGTGGTGAATAACCTACTGAATACTAAATACATACATGATAAAAAAAGTTCACATATATGAAATAGAACCACCTAATTATTTTATTAAATAGCTTGTTAAAGAGAAGATTTTTTAATTAGGACTAAGATTTAAAAAGTGTTTCTGCAATGTATAAACCTTCCTTTATAACCATTCTATCTAGTTAAAAAAACCGCATCAAGATCCGTTGCGTAGTTTTAAAGATCTAAGCATACATACAGACAGACAGCGGGATGATTTTATTTTATATTATGTAGTGATTACCCGAAGCCTTCCTCGGCTCCAAGGTGCAGCCTTGCTGGCTGAACGCACTTATCGTCACCAACATAGCGTCACTCACGGTACCGTCGAGCTGTGGTGGAGCCTGTAAATACACGGGAAATGCTGTTCGGAAGAATTTAAATTACAAATTAAGTTGTATATCTCAGAAATAAGAATAAGTATTTTCTTCAGAGGAAGCCGTGAACCAACGATTTTATCTGGTTTGAATAAAATCATTCTTTGCTCAGCTGTGGGACCCGAGTTAGTTGTTAAGGAAAGTGTCTACGAGAATTCTGTTTCCCAACTGGTGATTAAAATGGTACCGGACTTATCAAATAGGGAGTTGATAAGTCCAGTACCATTTTAGTCAACGTTTCACTTGTCCATAAGCTTTGTAAGCCGTCAACTGTTAAATAAAGACCTCTCGCTTAGAACGCAACGCATTTGCATCTACCGGGTGCCTGCGAATCTTACGATATCATCGGCCCACCTTCGAACGGTACACTAACCAGGTCGTGTCGTGGACACCACTCAGAACTTATTCCTCATCGGTCATCGGTCATTTGAGTGTTGTCGCCTGCTCATTGTCACTCCAAGTAGCCTTTTGGTACGAGCATTGAAACTAGGCAGGTTTTCTGTATCGTATAAGTTGTAGATGCTATAAAGTCATCGGTAATAGCGGCTGACTTAAAGCGATGAAACCACTTGCCTTCATAAAACGGGTCTCTGATTTGCTAGCGAGGTACAGCACGACGGTTGAGAAGCTGATGCAACCAGCCACTGCAAGCCACACCTCAGTGGAGAAGGGCATCGTGAATATGTTGGCCACGTAAGGGAGGGGCGGTTGTCGGAATATAAACCCAACCTTGAAGGGTGCGATGGTATCTGTGTATTGGATGACGTCCAAACGTTCTGGGTAAACGGCACAGTTGGTGCCTGAAATACACGATGACAGATAAATTCATCAGCGCTTGGTAGATGATTTAAAGTTGTCATTCAATTGTTTTCGTTAACTGGTTGTTATTCTTTATAGCAATTTATCAACTTAGGCCTTGTACCCTGTAATTTTGCGGCGTTAATTCACACCCGTTCAGATAGTTACTTAAACGTTTGTTTGAATGTGCAAAAGTCTACCTATTTTTAAGATTCACGCCCGGTTTCTGAAACACTGATCATCGTAGAAGTTAACTAGTTATCTGTCAAATGGTTCATTCTGATCATTTAGAAGATCATTCTGATCCATTATGAGAGTTTAACAATCCTTTTGGCAAATCAAATAATAGCATTTGAAAATATAAACCGTCCCCTTGAATCACCAATCTATTGCTGACAACCGCATTGATATCTGTTACGCAGTTAAAAAGATCTAAGCGTACAAACAACGGGAACGACTATGTTTTGTACTATGTAAAAATTAACTACTCATAGTGTTTTTTTAAAATAAGCCTCGCACTCATAATAGAAATATGTTGGCCCTCACGGAGCGCCCGGTTGGTCGGAGCGCCTGAAGGAAATATACGAGATTCGGAACTATTCGGTTGGGCGAAGCCGTGAGTTCGTGATTACGAACTAAAATTGAATAACAAAGGTGTACACGTATTGTTTAATAATAGTCGAAGGTCAAGAGTTAAAGACAAGACGAGAGATCGCGTCTCAAGTAAGTTATTAAAGTACGTTAATACCCACGCTTCTTAAGTAAGTTATTGAAATTTAAGTACGGAGTTCTTACCCAGATCAGCTCTGTTATTGAGGATGTCGTCGATCATACCGGACCAGCGTCCATTCTGCTTGTAACCCCAACGGTGGCTGAAGATGTGCTGCGGGGTGGCGTTCAGCATTTGGAAGGCAAGCTTCACAACCATCCAAGATATCTTCGCTGTCGCGTCGTGTTGACCTTCTCTGGTGTATGAATAGATTAACCTCAGAGTATTTGCAGAAATACATACAATATCTGTTTTTATAGCAACTACCGAGTCGAGGTCAGTTAGTGCACGGTATAATTTTATTGCATCCACAGTTAGACCATAGTATCAAATTTCTCTACTTGTTTGTTTTTAAGAGCCGTGATAGCTCAGGGTCCGGGCGCTCGCCTTTAATTCGATATACTCGAACAACCTGAGTTGGATCCCCGGTGCCGGCACCAATGAAATTGTTAATTTTAAGTGCCGAATTATCACGTGCTCAGTAGTGAAGGAAAACATTGTGGCGAAGCCTGCATACTTTCGAAATAATAATAAAAAATATTTCGAAGATATGTGAAAACCGCCAATCCGCAGTGGGGCCGTATGGTGGACTATGCCCTAATACCCTCTGTATAAAGGAGGCCTTTGCCCAGCAGTGGGACATGTATAGGCTGATACTTTACTTACTTTACTTTTTTTTATGTTACACTGATCTGTGATTAAGATTGTATGACAAGTTGTATAACATCATATCAATCAACCCTTTGTGGTATTAGGTATTTAGTCTAAAATGTATCAACACGATACTATATATAGGATAAGGGAAATAAAAACAAATTGTCTTGACAAAGCAATTGAACTCTCATCACTCGAGGAGTTTTTTGACATTCAAAGTAGTGTTAAAGTAAATAAGGATCAGTAAAATAAGGTATAACAGTGTTAAGTTTTTATTAATTAGCTCAGGGACATCGATTCTGAACTCTGATATCACTGGCAGGCTATATTTGAAAAAAAAATCGTGTAGTGACTATATTTCAAAATACGTTGTACCGAGACAACTCAGGTAACGGTATTATAATCTAAGGTGAAGTGATAACCGCTGCCAATAGAAATTTGCAACACCCATAGGGTTGCAAACTTTGCCACCTTTAAATAAATTGGGCTCCAGCTACCTAGCTCACCAGACGGACAATTCTTCTTCATGCCGGTCTTCTGTGAGGTCGTGGTACCTACCCGGACGGACCGGCCCATTCCTGCAACAGTGAACACTGTTGCATGGTTCTACCACAGTCAAAGTAATCTTTCGACTAGCCATCCTGAAAGGCCTGACCGATTTACGTACGTACTACACTTCATCAACTTACAGACCATCTTCCATGTGGTACTGTGTAGTGTTGCTGTCTTGAATCACGTTGGCCATAGTTAATGGATGCCCCATCAGGTCCCTCCTTCTCCTGTACAGCTCCTTTGTCGGCCTTACGTCCACGAAGTCTCCATCGTAAAATCCCCTGAATGTGGAGATCGGCGGTCCGTTCGCAGACGTTTTGTGCCCTAATAAAACGAGTAACGTTTTATTAATAATGGATAATAAGTCTAAGGTATAAGAAGTCTTAAAGCTGTTATTTAAACATTCGGGAGTTCAACTAGCGACGCTAACTAGTACTTATGTTATGATCCAGAAATCTGTTTATCAGAAGGCCATCAAACTTCATAGGAGGATCCACTGGGCTAATATGAAAATCGCTTTAGAAGTTCACCAAAATAGCTTTGGAGTCGTACATATCACTCGTCGTATATGGTTATTTTAGTAATATTTAGTACAGTGACAAACATTTTATTACATGTCTAAAAACGTGATATGAGATGAAATATAGCCAATTGTTTCTACTATAGTATATTCAACCAAACATGTAAACATACTTGATAAATGTTTGCTTAGTACTCACATTCGTTCAGTGTAAAGGTGCCATTCTTCTTTGTAGCCAATACGAGGTCACTAGTGGGCCATAGTGATAGTTCACGCAAAATATCCGATTTGTCTCCAGTGGAACTTAACAACAACCAACGGTAGGGATAACTAAAATGGTTGCTCGACGAAGCCTGATCGCAACGGATTGAAATTATGATTAAAAAAAAAAACATCAAACCATTGTATGGTTTATTTTGTTCATCGCTACTTGTTTTTTTAAAGACCTTAGTTCAAGTTGCCAGTGTTACTTCATTCGCTTTAAGCAATAAAAGTACTGGCAGTTAGTCATGTTTCGTAAAAAAAAAATCTTACATTCGACAACAGTTCTTCGGACCTTGGGCAATCCAAATCAACAAGAAACAGAGAATTGTGCATCAGATATTTGAAATTCTTGCTCGTTGAAAGCGTTGATCTTGTGCCCGCTATGGATAATTCTTTAACAACATTAGTTATTGTTTCTGAAAAATTCCACTTTAATCAACGTTTTTAAGATTAACCCAATAGTAATATTAGCCATACCATTTATTAAAATGCTAGTTAAAGTTTTATGAATAGTTAAACTTAATACCAATACAATTTTATATATTTAGTAGAGTGAATAAACAAATATTATTATTATTATGGGGCGATATTCATTTGTTTTCTCGTGTGTTTTTATTATTAGTAATTTAATATAGTTAAAGAACAAGAACTACTTCATTACAATCGCGATGAAGGATAAATTACAATTTAAAAAAGTAATTATAAGAAGAATAGATTTGTTGATGTTTAAATTATTTTTGGACCCTTTTTAATAGCGACCCGCCCTGGCCTCACATAGCTTCGTGGTAATTGTCTTTTTTTAATGTATTTTTACCATGGTGTGCGTAATAAAGATTACGACATCACTTTACAATTTTTTTTGAATTTTTTGACTTGTGTCTACTGTAATATTATGCAGGTATACTAAATATAAGCCTTCCTCTTGAATCACTCTATCTAATGCTGAAAACTGTATTAAAATCCGTTGCGTATTTAAAAAGAACAACGGTAGCGACTTTGTTTTATACTATGTAAAGATTAACTTACTCTTTTTCCAGCAAATATCACGGAAACTTAAAAACGTCGGCGTATATTCGTTTCGAACAAATTTTTCAATAAAACCACTTGTTGATAGATCTTTGCCGGCGACATTTTTCCATAATATAAACAGAACGAGGGTTTGTAATCTCATAGCTGCTTATTCGGTATTGAAATGCGAATTTGTCTAACTTAGTCCGCTCCATGCACAATTATCGTAAAGAGTTAAGGATGCTTCCGTCGATTAAATATTCCACGAAGCTTAAGCTCTTCAAATAGGTTACAATTATGGTGAAATAATTATGCGTTACGTACACAATTGATTAACTGAAGGCACAAAGCAAACGAAGCGGCTATTACGTTGGTAAACAAAGTAGAGGTCATAGTGTATTTATTAGCAATGATTTGATATTATTACGATAAAAGATTTTAGTTTTGAAATTAAATGAATATATATATCCTAGCCTCCAAAATAATATTAAAGAATTTTAAAAAATATTTTGAATATATGTGAAGTCCGCCAATCCGCAGTGGGGCCGCTTGGTGGACTATGCACTGATACCCTCTGTACAGAGGAGGCCTTTGCCCAGCAGTGGGACATGTATAGGCTGATACTTTATTTTTTTATCCTAGCCTCCAACGCAATAGGACATCTTTCATGGTCCGGTCTTTTTTAGACTTCGGGGCGGTTTCTTTAGCTAGAAAGCCTGCCCTTTCATTTACAACTTGTCCCACATGGACCCTTATCCGGTGAAAGACAAAGGAATCGCCTCGCTGGACTATCTAGGCGATGCTTTCCCTCGCCTCCACGGCCATGGGGTGGTAGGAATCCCAGCGACAGGTTGTTTCTTGGGCAGACCTAGAATCGCTATATACTTTGTAGCTCCGTGCAGGATTTTGGAGCGCTATTTTAGTGGCCTCAAGCAGAGCCAGCATTTCCAGCCAGTTGACGCTGCAGAAGTTTCCCAGTTTGATCTAAATTTTCCGTATGGCCAAGCCATACGGATAGCGCTGCACCAACGTTCCCTTCAATTTTACTTCCGTCTGTGTACATTTGCATACTCTCTTGTTGGCCCACAGCTGCAGCTCCATTTGAGCCCCAGGATATGGCATCTCCAAGAACGGTTTTAGTGTCTCCACTTCCCGCTCACCAACCGCCCGCCGGGAATGGCCTCTCTTCACCCCGTACAGTGAGGCCGCTTCCCTAATCCTAATGTCGATGGAAGTATCCCGGCGAGTATGAGGCCTTGATTATCTTCTGACCAGCACCAGACCTCACAGGCCTCAAAAAGTATTTAAAGGGCTTGTTACAAATTAATTATTATTTCACGAAGTTCAATCTAGTGTCACTTACTAATTACTTGCTTTTATCACTTATCCCTACATAATATTTTATGTTGGGATAAGTGATAAAGACAAGAAGATGTTAATGATCTTACGCACTTCTGTCAATCGCAATGGTGAGCGTTTTCTATCTCGCACAACCCGTTTCAAGTATAAATAAATTTATGCCGTCAATTTTTGAATTATCCAAAAAGCTTCCTTTCAGCTCACATTTCTATACAATTTAACAATTATAAACAATATCACAGTAGAACGCTGACAACGTAAACAAAAATAATGGAGTAGATAAAATTATATAGCAAATTCCGAAAATTAATCCAATACCGAAAATCGGCGAATTGCTATAATTTTAATATAAATGCTATATTTCTAAAGTACGGCCAAAACAGTACTTCCCAATATATTCTTCAATCGCCACTTCAAAATTATATTATTCGTACAACATTTAACGAGTAATCAATAAATAAATAGAATGAAAGTTCGTAATTTGTTACATTCATTATTTTGTGTTTAAGAAAGAAACCATTTTTAGTGTTCCGTACCCAAAGGGTATTATTATTAATAGTCCTATTACTAATAGTCCGCTGTTTGTCCGTCTGTCACCAGACTCTATCGTAAGAACCGTGATAGTTAGATACTTGAAATTTTCACAGATGTTGTTGCCTCTATGACAACAGATAATAAAAAAACAGAACAAAAAATATTTAAGTGAAGCTGCCATATTTTTTTTTTGCCGTTTTATAGATAATATTACGGAATCTTTCTTGCGCGCATCCAACCCGCACTTGTTAAAAATTACATCAAAGTCACAATCTCGATTAATAATTTTTGAACCAAACGGCAGACGGTTAAAACCCAAAGCACAGATCAGGACGTTTAGCATTTATCTCGTCCCTTGATCAAAGTATTCGAAAAGTATGGGTATTTTAATTTAAAGTAAACGCGATGGAAATTAAAACAGTTTTATTTTTGAGTTAAGTTTACAAAACCAAACGGACAATCTTTGATTTTCGGTGTTTATAATTATCTGTGCGAGACCGAGCTTTAATTTATAAGCCGTTTATGTATCTTTTATGATGTAGTAATTGTCTATAACTACGTGTGCTCATTAAGGTTACATTACAAGTTGACAGTCAGTGATTTTATTCTGTTGTAGCCGTTTTTCCCTCAGAGCGATTCTGTAATAAAGAAATAAATTCCTACTTTTACTCGGGTTAACATAATATACCGTGCCGACATAACATATTTCGTCTGAACCAATGTTAATAATAAGAATAAAGTCGTCTAAAAGTAAAAAGTAAATGATGCTCGAAGTCTTTTGATTTTTTTAAATTATTATTTATTATAAGTCAAGTAAAAGTAAATTAACAACTCAGTGCCGAGGGTATTAGGACATAGCGTTCCACGTGGTCTCACTGCGGATTGGCGGACTTCACATATCTTCGAAATATTTTTTTCTATTATTATTTCGAGAATGCAGGTTCCCTGACGATGCTTTCCTTCACCGCTGAGCACGTGATAAGTCAGAACAGAATTTAACAATTTCATTGGTGCCGGCACCGGGGATCGAGCTCAGGTAGCCCGAGTGTATTGAATTATAAGCGAACGCCCGGACAATGAGCTATCACGTCTCTTATTTATTTCATTAGTCACAAAATCTAAGGAACATTGACAATAAGTGGCATGGTCTCCAAGATAACACTCGATAAACTTACAGTCGTTTATGGAATATCTCCAATATCAGCACAGCTGGCGCTAGCAGCATGCCGTACAGCGTGGCAATTATGGCAGGGTACATGTCGGTGATACCAACGCTGCTGAATGCGGAGATGGCACCCGAGCACCGCGGCCGTGGCACGTGCAGACGATGGTGGTTGTTAGCTTGGATCCCCGTCTCCCGGATCTTGATGAAGCTGTTAAGGGGAAATTGCAAGTATTTCAGGAGTTTTTTGTGTGCGAAGGTGGTAAGCGAGCAGCGCTTCATCTAATGTCATGTGACAGCCAGCGCCCTCTGACATTTGCAACACCCGTAGGGTGGCAGATGCGTTGCCCATTGCAACAGGGATGGACCTGCCTTACCGTTGCGTGGCATTACCACAGCTAAAAGTTTTTGTAAAAAGCGACTCATTAACTCTTACAGCTATGTACACATTTAAGTGTAATAAAGTATGTAGTATGACACTACACTAAAATGTAATGAAGGTGTTTTTGCTGTTATTTTATATACATTGTATGGTTAAGTAGCGGTTTTTGCTGTTGCACGATTGGGAAACCATGTCCGAGGTAGTAACACAGTCAGAAGAATAACTTTTTTAAATGTTGTACATGTTAATGAACTCGCTGCTCCCTTGAAAATTCTCCCAAAAGTAAAAAGTTTGGGTAGGTGCTTTTTGGATACTCTTTTTACAGGTTTGTAAAATACGTGTGTAGCACTTCTAGTGCTGTGGATGCGTGTGAGCGGCAGAAATCATTTATCGTCCCATGAACCGGTTATTTCTCTTATACGTCATATAGAAAATAATTCAACTTACTTAATTTTGAACAGATCTTTGTAGGGAGATCTCTTTTGACCGGGCACCCACGGATCTATCTCGTTTATGTAGTCAATCTCGACCAGATCGCATTTCTCTTCCTCTTGATAGGTCTCTTGAATGAGCCTGTATCCAGGATTCAACTCCATGTGGAACGCGAACAAACCCTAAAAGTGAATGCAACGTTATATTGCAATATAAAACTAAGGTGGGGCCAAGCAATAGCGTCTGCTGTTGCACGAATGGTAAAGTACCACGATTTCACAGAAGACCGTGAAGTTGAAGTCTTCTACATTTCGTCTGTGTGAGAGAAGTAGCCGAAACCCACTTAATAATAAGGTGGCAACGTATCTGCCACCAGGGGTGTTGCAAATGTCAATGGGCGGCGGTTGTTACTTGACATCAGGTGAACCGCCTGCTCGCTTGCCACCTTCTCACATAAAAAAATGATTGTCTGATAATTTATTTAAGACTTCACTTACGCGTCTTATTTTCTCAACGCCCTCCTTCATGCTGTAAAAGTTCGGTTTTTTCCCCTTCGGCGCTATTTTCTTGTCGTAGATAGCCTTTCGTATCGGTTCATTAAGTTTCTGACGACAAAATGTAACTATAATTATATAATTTGTAAAACAGGTGCATGATATTCTATTAAACACAGATAAATTGCTAAGCTTTCTTATTACATGAGAATTATTTGTAAATTTACTAAAAAAAAAATTGACACATTGAAATAGATAGAAAACATAAAACTGGAATCAACTTTCAAGTTCACTTAAACATAAGGTAGAACGGTTTTAATGGTTTGTAATGGTGGCCCAACCTTAAAGAAGTATCTGTTGTATTCGAAATCGCTCGCCCCAAGTTTCAGCGGCGAGTTCAGGAGGTCAGGGAGACTCCTAACCGAGGAACTGGGCGCTCGGAGTAACACTACGATGTTCGCCGAGTAAGCGGAGTATAGGATTGTTAGGGCGATGAAAAGCAGAAGGGTAACACATCTGCCTGCAACGATAAAAACAAGCCCACGCTTCTTTAACGGTTTACAAACAATGATGTTTAATAATGTTAATGTGTTTACGGTGGTAGGGCCACGCAGCAGCTTCGGCTGTTGCACGAATGGGCAGGCCCGTCCGGGTAAGTACCACGACCTCACAGAAGACCGGCGTAAAGTGGAAGTATGACAAATACTTTCGCGTTTCGTCTGGTGAGTGAGGTAGCCGGAGCCCAATTTTCAAAAGGTTGTCAACGCATCTGTAACCCTCGAGTGTAGCAGATGTCCATCGGCGGCGGTATTCACTTAACATCAGGTGAACCGTCTGCTCGTTTGACAACTTATCTCATAAAAAAAAAAAATGTAGATGACGCGTGTCCATACAGCGCGGCGTCGACGCTTAAATTACATTTTCTCCTTTACATTTGGATACGCATCTTACGCATCGCAAAGAGGTTCAGCAGTCGGGACACCTGGGCTAAGTTGAAAAAGTCCCTCGAGTGATGATACTAAAAATAATAATTGCAATCAATCATTAAGGGACTTTAACAACTGACGCAATATTTCAACTTATTGAAACCTCAAATCTTATCGAAGCATTAATTTTATTACTTCTCGGACCAGCATACACAAGAGTTAAGTTAGAAAAATTGACATCAGCTCGAACATGAACGAAAACCAAACTGGAACCTGACATGGTACCAATAAAAAACATTTTAAATACACAGTTCATAAGCTCATGTTTGCTCATGATGTTTAAGATTGTAGAATTTATTAATAGATAAAAAATAGAACAGAAAAGCTCTTTTCAAATTCATTAAATGCAAAGATAATTTTAGAACTTGACATACATTTGGTTCTCAGTCCAAAGTGTGACTCCGCCTCTTGTTTTTAACGAATATGTAATGATGAGAAAACATCAAAGTGTTTCAAGATTTGAAATAGTAATATATTTTAAACGTAGACGAAAATATTCGGACGGTATGTTTCTCCAAATTATTTTATTTCTAAACATGATGTCAACCACGTTTTCTAATCTTATTTCCGGAACAGATACGCGAAATTTTATTCACTTCATTTTAGTTTCCAAAAAAGATTTGTTCTGCCTTACCTCCGCTCCAGATTCCACCTAACCTCTATCTACGTATATTAAAACTATCTTGTACTTAGTAAAAACAACCCCAAACTAAGAAAAATTTAATTAAATCTTTTGCAATTACTTAAAAAAAGTTATTACATTTCATACATTAAACCCATCATTCGGGCACAGTACATGTGAAAGAAATATAGGGGAGGATCGCAGTTCATGTGCAAGAAATATAGAATACAAGGAGTAGATACAAGTAAAAGAGATTTTGTATTTCGCATCATAAACCCTCTTTCTGGAGCATGTGGCTCAAATAGTAGTCGACGAAGTAACGGAAAATATTATCGGTAAATACATCGCTGGATGCAGGCCGCTTCAAATCAATCGAGGTGGAAATCCCTAGAGAAGGCTTATGTTCAGCAGTGGACGTCTACAGGCTGAAATGATGATGATGATAATGACATGTAATTTTCTTAAACTTGCGAACAACAATCCTTAAATGTAAAATTTTTTTTTATTCATCATTATATGATGGTAAACATAAGAACAATTTAAGAGAATTTTTCTGCAAAGCATAATATGTGATGTTATCATGTGTTGTCGCGAAGTTAGATAATTTTGTTATATTTTCAGAATTGTGTTGAATTGGATTGTTCTGTCAGCCGCTATATGTAAACTAACCGGCAGCGTATCTTGGCTCGAGCGTGCATCCTTGTTGAAGAACTGCGCCGATGATTAATATGAGCACATCTGCCCACGTCCCATTCAGCTGCGTCGGATGCTGCAATCGTAAATATAGCTGACTTATTGAGCGATCGGACAAACGACTCACTATTATTTCATTGGGCTATTTGCATTTAGAGTTGACATCACTGGACCTATTGTTATGTAATATAGTGCTCTACACTCGTGGGTGGAGAACGAAAGGAATACAGGCATTTGGATAGAGGATCTATTGTTCGCAGGCAATTCGTAGAATTAAGTATTTACAGCTAAGAAGCAAATGATACATAGGATTTCTGAGATCTGCTTTAAGTAGTAGTGATGAAGCAAGACTTTGAGTGCGTTCGATTTAATTTTAGAACCACATGCCTTTTAGATAAGGTTTTAAAAGGATATAATAATTTTTCACACTTTTGTCGTCAGTGTTTATAGAGTTGTGCTCGTCAAGAATAAAATCAGCTTTATCAGCTAATCAGCGCTCTCAAAGACTTGTGACAAATATCTATGGCAAGTGGTAAACTCATAAACATCTTTCCACTGTCCTAGTTTAACCTACTCGTTCTACGAGTGTACTTCAAGAGCATTGACTGCGTAGTATAGTACGTACTATATCCAGCAACCAATAATTTTCGTGAAATGAGAAAGAGTAACAATCTTAGTAGTCTCACGTTTTAGAAAGCTTTTAACAGTGCGTTAACACTAACCATGGCTACGGTGGCTTCCCATTTCGAAGCGATGTAGAGAAAGATTGCGCAGGCCAGTACACAGACGATGATCGCTAGCCACACCCCTCCGGTGAAGGGCAGCGTGAAGATATTGGAAAGAAGCGCAAGCGGCGGCTCCCGGAAGACGAACCTGACGGCCGTCGACCCCACCATAGCGATGTAGTCTATGCACTCCATTCGCTCCTGAGTGAAGATCGTCAATGTGCCTGAAAGACGAGGTTGTGTATTTGGGGCATGTTTTTCTAAATCTACTGTCTCCCTCGGTATGTGTAGCTGTGTCTATTATGTTTTCACTTGGCATACTTCGCAACTATGCTACTACTTGCCCGAGTTTCGCCGCAATCGGAATGCAAACGGTGCGAACAAATTGACATTCACTCTGTTACTAAATGAAACTGTGTTTGCAGCGTTCATGGACAACATTGTCAAGGGTTCGAAACGTCGGGAATTAAAACTAAAAATAAACGCAATGAATCCGTAAACATAGTTTCATTGTGGAAACGCGTAAATAAGTACAAGAAATTATTATACACTTACAACAGTAATAGCGTCGTTTTATCAAGAACACGAGTGTGTGTTCACATTGGAAACGAGAATGAAAATACATACAATCTAAATCCTTTGCTGCTAGTAATGTTTACAACGAACAACACTAGGATAAAGGCACTCTTACCGTCCACTTGACCAAGAAAGAGACGAAATAAATTATGCGCTTTACCTAAGTCCGCTTCTTTTTTCAGCAGGTGATCAATGATCCCCTGCCAGTTTCCGTTCTTGTCCCTATAACCCCACGTGTGAGTGAAGATCAACTTCTCTGATGCGTTTAACATTTCGAAGCATATCTTCACTATCACGTATGACATTTTTGTTATGGAGTCTTGGTGGAGATATCTGAAAAGAGACGGTTGAAAACTAAGACTCAAATAATGTTGTACTCTCGACTCGTCTTCAAAAATAACATGTTATTTTAATGAGCCGAAATCTTCCTTCGTTCCTCAAATTGCTCGGTGTATAGCGAAAAGAATAGGTATGTTTAGAACGAAAACAAGTTTGAGCTGTTTTCTTCTTTGAGAGAAACATTTGGGAGTTTAAGGAGGGTAAGCCTTTAATTCGTAAGAGTCGCGGGCAACCGGTGGATGCAAATGGCAAAGTGTCGTACGTTGTGGCGGCCTATGTTCAAGAGTGGACGGCTTACGGCTGATGATGACGATGACGCTTTTATAAATTTGTAGGTTGATTGCGTTGCCTTTTGGAGTAATTCCACGAGAGATTCGCGGAGACCATTCAAATGTACTGTGAATGGCCATTGGTTTTAGGGAGTGCAAGGAACAAGAGACAGAGTTTTTATCGAAAGCCCCGATACCAAAAAAGATTATTAAGCCATTGAATTCGTATCAAGCCATTTCTATCAACACTACGGATCGTCTAAGATATTTCTTGTATTTTTTTTTGACATTCATATAATCGTTTTGGATATGGATGCTGGTCCTTGATCTTTTTGCAGAATTTTAAAAGTATACAGTAGTACCGTATAGGGTTGTTAGTTTGGGAAAACTTAAAAAAAAACCTTTATATTTATCGGAACTTGATAGTCCTTCTTTATCGCAACTGACGATAAGCGGGGATGTATGGATAGGATGTGGCCTTAGGTGGCAGTAAAATCCTTTTTACTGTTCCCTTGAACCAAACATCGTGGGGATTATAAGCGTGACGAGTTGCTGAACCTGTCACATGGTGGCAAAGCATATTTGCATGCAAATTAGGGCCACGGCGTACAATTAATATTTCTCTGCATATCCCTCGTCATTGACTCCTTGACATACTTTAATACTTACATCACGTAAGATCTGTGTTGGTCGTTACATAAGAAATTACTGTTCATGTTCATATTATAAACTATATGGAACGAATAAGATATTTTTACCAAAAAAACTGGCTTAATTTGTGCGTTAGTATTTTTTTTTTTGGTAGATTTTTTGTTGACGTTCAATAAGAGCTTAAGTTAAGCCTATATTGATTAAAAATTATTTGACTTTGACTTTTGAATCTTTGAGTGTCTCTTGTTGTTATTTTAAATACTAATCTCTCTCGTCCGAAGTATCCTGTTTATGTCATGTTAACACGTTAAATTGTGTCTAGTTAATTACGTTTATACGATGTTATCTAATTACCCAATTCAACGTATTTATTAACAATTTTGACATCCAATATGACGGACTTAATTACCGGGCAATGCAGTTTTATCGTAAACGGATGTCTGTGTGTACATAAAGGCTAGGAGACGGTTTGTTTGTGCTCAGCCAATGCACTTAACTTCAGTTTAAAATAAGTTTTATGATGAAGACTATGATTTATCAGTGCAAATAAAAATAGGGACGTAGTTGATGTAATCATAATTTACAAGACTTTAATGAATTAGTATTATATTTAGATTTTTCTGAACGTCACGTATTTCCTATGACATAAAGCTTGATAACTTAATTCATAAAATCATTTCTTACTGGCTGTTAACTGCGACTTCGCCCGCGCGGCTAAAGGGAATTAACAATGAGTTTTTTTTTTATTATACACCACAATGGCTGCATTTTTCCCTACTTAGTTGACACTTATCATTACCTGTATTTTGGACAATTCACACAAAATCTTTATAAATTACAGCCTATGTTAGTTTCAATAAAATCCATTCAGTTGTATTTGCGTGAAAGATTAAAAAACATCCATTCATACATACAAACTTTTGCGTTTATAATGTTAGTAAGGATTAGTAAGGATGATTATGGAAATAAATGACGGTGTTGTTAAAACTCATAAAGTACGAGTGGGTGGTAGACTCTTATATGGGACAATTATTTAAATCTTAAAAATAAATATCTAAAGAAGCGACCCCGGTTGCACTGTCGTTACTAGTTGAGGAAAGGAACAAAAATTGTGTCCTTATACGTGAAAGTGTTACAAATAACAATAAAATTTGATACCAACAATCGATCATCTAAATGACGCCTCGTCTCGTTGCTATCAGTAATGACGTTAGCCATAGTGAGGGTATGCCTTCTGAGATTGCGACGTCGGGCTGACAGAATTTTGGTTTCCCTGTAGTCTTCCATCACTCCATGCCTGTCCACAGTAAGACTTCGCACTAACGAATTGCCGATGTCATTCCCACCATTCTCTACCGAAGTGAACTTTTCACGCGTTGCATTAAGTTGTTCTTTCTCAATTGAGAAGTTGATCATGTTGCTACCGCCGTCAATCAAGTTATTGTTGGTGGCGCGCCAAATTGCTCTGGTGTTGAAAATCAGTTCAGTGCCTTCAGCGATTTTATAAACTGTAAAATAGGGAGTTTTTCCCATGTTAAAGATTATAGGTGTCATAATCAACAATTGCTACTCAATCAAAAACACCGCAACAGACAAGGTAAGTCTATTCTAAATAAGTTACGATTAAAAAAAATCGTCAAAATTTCTAACAAAATATTCTTCGAAACATTTACAATGACTTCAAGTACATTTTTCGTTTTTATATGAAAACCGGACAAGCAAGCAGGCGTTTCTCCTGATGTTATGAATTACCATCCTCATGGACATCTGCAACATCTGAAGGTTGCGGATGCGTAATCAAACTTTAAAAACCACGGGCCCCTGTTACCTCGCCCACCAATAACCCCAAGACGAAACGATAAGGGATAATATTTCTACTTTACTCTTGCATGATGCTTTCCCGGACTAGCCTGTCCACTACGAAAACTTGATGATCTATATTACATGATATTTTTCATATTATTATTTTCAAAAAAATGATTTGATCTTGCTTAGTTAATTTATATATCAGTTCACTTTTTACGAATTATGATTACCATTTATATATGTTAAAATTGAAATTTACCTTCAGTTAAAACGAATTCACCCTCATCAAACTTTTTTGCCACCACTACATCACTGTCTATGACCATATTGATGTCTTGTAATAGTGTGAAAGGATTGACCATATCTACAGAACCCAGGAGCATCCATCTGTACGGGGACTTGAAGTAACCTTCTTTACTGGCCTGGAACGGAAATTCTGGCTTGTATTTACGGGAATGTATTTTCCTTAAGGCTTGAAATCTATGAAAGTTCTAATAAAAGTTCTTAAAAGTACAAATTTTGACGAGTCGGATGAGTGTTGACTTATGTCATTGTTTTTTAATGGGCGCTGAATTTAATAATGTTTTGTGTGTTTATATGTAAATATATGTAATTTTGTATAACTGTAGTGGTTGTCGTTATAAATACATACCTTCAATAAGAAATCAGATGTTGCAGGGCAAGTAATATCCGCTAAAATGACGATATGCTGTAGGTAACTTTCACTCCGATTAGGCTGGAGAGAGAAAGCCCAACTTATACCAACACCTGAAAGAACTTTTACCAAAGTTTTTAATTCATCTGAAAACAATGAAGTAGGAAAAGTTATCGAATGTATAAAATTCACGTATAACGGTGTTTGTAATTGAATTCCTCCGAAACGGCTCAACCGATTTTCGTGAAATTTTGTGGTAGAGAATCGGAAAACATCTATTTGCATCCCCCTAAATGCTAAGGGTGGTCGCCCCCAAACATTTTTTTCTAAAAATAATTTATATGGCAACGTTTGCCGGGTCAGCTTGTTAATATACAACATTGGTCTTAGACTTTTAGATTTCTTATATGAAGAAGAAATCTGTGAATGCTCACTTTGATCTTTTTGTGAACTAGACCCATATACACTGTCCAAAGAAGGGTTTCACTTAGCAGTGGTGGCTTACAAGCTATCATTTTTATTGAGCAATGCACATGTTTATGTAAAAGTTTTTTTAGGGAGTTACAGCTTATTATAATATAAATTCGCAACGTTAAGAATATGGTCATGAAACGCGCGGATTTAAAACTTCACGTTAAACTCCGCGAAGGAAGCCAAAATAAGTAATTATAAAATGTTGTATTTCAATTGGAAGTTTTTACAGTTAGTGGAAATTCTAGAAAGATTGTGAGCCATTGATTTACGCCTATAGATTTCATTTAAAAAGGCAATTAAAAAACAACGCGCATTAAGAAAACAGTTTAATTTGCATAAATTAGAAGATTTCACCAAAAGCATCATGCAATATTTCAAAGTTTTTTGGAAAATTTTTTAGGTTAAAATTTAAACTAACTAACACCATTGGGTGCTTTAATACAGATATTGGCGTAACTTTTATTATTTATGTAATTTAATGTTTCTCCTTATTTAAGTTAGGAACTTCACATAATTAATTTCCTGCCTGCTTTACAAAGATCTATCCAACTATCACGTTTTAGCTTTTAGACTTCCAGCTTTTACCAAAGTAATACAAAAACTTAAATAAAAAATTAACATCCTGTCACTTGATTCAACTCACATTGACTCCAGCATAAGTTGGGCAAAAGAAGAGACGTTGGTCTATCATCTAAAGTTAAAAACGAAACCAACATGTTAATGGTTATGCTGATGTCATCAATGCCGTTTGTCTCGATTTTTGCACAACAAAAGAAAAAAATTAGGGGAACACATTTCAAATCCATCCTATATTCAACTATACGCTACGTCGAATAAAAAGAGTTAAAATTTTTCCACTACAACAGTGAAGACGAAAAGAAATTGAACATGAAAATGTGAATTTTTATTTTTTTCATTTTATATAATAACACTGAAAGGAAAGAAAAGAGTTACGATATTTATAAAGAGGTACAATCGCTTTTATAAAGTTTCTACATATTTTTTTTATTTGCTATAGATTTATTAATTTAACACATACAGAACGTTGATATATTCGGTATTTTACTTTTTATTTTTATTTACTTAAAAATGAAGTTTTATTTGTATGTACCTTTTTAAGTAAATTTAATTATATTTTAAGAACTGAAAACTTTAGAAAAGTCTTTAAATTTTCATTACATTTATTTTGAAAGTTAAATTACCTGACTTTTAATTGTATTTCGTGCAATTGTGCCTTTCGCCTTTAGTTCAGTTGTACTAATGTTTTCTAAACAAGACTAAACAAATTAATATTACATTAGTGCTTTAATAAAATAAAACGAAAGCTATTTTATCTTTTTATCACGAAATGGTTTCATTTGTTATTGAAGGAATTGAATGTTTTATTCAAATTAAATTTTTATAAATAACCCAGATCCCTTTGATATAACAACATCAGTAAAACGTGTATACATATCTTACTAAAAAATTAGCAACTGACAACCTATGGCTAGAGAAACTAAGAACTATATATTATGGTGGAGTAAGAATTACTTACATAACAGCTCCTACTGCATAAATAGCCATTCAGTCAGCCCATTATTTAATTCACTCGGTGGAAGTAGCTTGGCTTAGCAAAAACTTAATGGATAAAATAAATTTCGTGTAAAAATAAAATTTGTTACTTTTGTTAGCGATTATACAAAAAGACCGATACGGCTGACGTTTCCTTTGGGTACAGCCTAATGACATGTTTATTGTCCTTAAGTAGAATATTACAGTGTTTCGTTGTCGTTTGTCTGTCATTAGCCATTATTGAATCGCTTTGGCTTGGTTATCGTGAACATGCTTTGCATTGAAAATGATCCTGTCATTTCGAATTCTAATTTATGTTATATCACAGTTATTTAAGTCCATACTAGCTGTGTTACGATTTTTAACCTCAAGAGGATGAATTATAGAAGGTCATTTATTAGAGGTCACTTTTGTAATAAATCAGAAAAAATTCCAAGCTTCTAGACTTTCTGTTAAACTGCATTTATCTATCAGTGTTGACGTCTAATATATTAGATTAGTTCCATGTACTAATGTTTTACTAGATTTGTATCCTCCTTTGAAAGCCTTCGAAGAATTGAAAATAAAAACCTAGTAAAGCAGCCCTGCAACACAATATGTTCCACCCCGATATTTTCCAAGGCTATAGAAAATTTGGCAATCGAGCATTCGGTTCAGCTGATGGTATGTAGTTACCGTCGCCCATGGACAACTAAAATGCCTTACGGGTTGCAGACGCGTTGCCAACCATTTCAATAGTGTCGTCCGGTTACCTCACTCACCAGACGAAACGCGAAAGTATAATATTTTTTCACACCTCATGCCCGTCTTCTGTGATGCCGTGGTTCTGCCCCGGACGAGTCCATTAAACGCAATCGATAATTTTATTGAACTCCAGCACAGTCATTTAATAAGTTTTTACTATTTTACTCTCTATCCTTGATGAGTATTAATGTACACTTTGATTATATACTTATATACTATCAAGAAGTATATAATCAAAGAATGTACGTATACATCTAAAGAACGTGCCTTTATAATTCCGGCGTTCGATTAACATTGAGCATCAGAGACACGCGTGCAGAACAAAAGTAATGCACAAAACAAATTCACTCAAGCTAAGCGCAAACGCACATTAATTGTAAAACAATTTTTATATTGCAAATTATATTGAAATTCCTCCCATGGCGCGCCACAAGAATGACACAATCAATTAAAATATCAATTCACAATGGATAAGTTGTGATCAACAACATATTGTCCTTATTTATCTCTATATGAGTAAAGGTTGCTATGTGAATACAGCAGTAAATTTTCCAGTGCCTTCATCACCACGCAACATTCTTCGATGTTGCACGAATGGGCATGTCCGTCCGGGGAAGTACCATGACCTCACATAAGACCGGCGGGAAGTGAAAGCGTAATACTTCAGCGTTTCGTCCGGTAAGTGAGGTAACCGGGGCCAACTTAAATAAAAGGTGGCAACGCATCTGCAACCCTACGGGTCTTGTTAATTTCCGTAGACGGCGGTTATCAATTAACATCAGGTGAACTGCTAGCTCGTTTGTTCGAGTTCCTATTTATAAGTGGGTTATCACTATGACACTTAATTGTGAGAATCGTGAATAGTTTATATTCTCAAATGTCTATCATTAACCTAATTTGTATAAGCTACCTAAACCTTGACCTGAAAAATTGGGGATAAACTTACCGACTGTCTTAAAGCAGAATTGAATCAGACGTGTTCTTGGAAAGAAATCGCTGTGTCGTTCGAGTTCTAGCGACAATGTAAATTCCACTGTCGTTGGAAACACTAGTCGTTATTGGAACCCAATAAGGGTTACTTTACCTTAAATGTCATTCTGGCAACGGTAAAATTACACTCGATGTACATCCCTGCGAATGTATGTCAAGATCTTGTGGTCTCGCCGATTATGCGACCTCTATAAATCATAATTCTGTACCACAATTATGTCTGGAAGGACTTCAAAGTATTAGGTTACATTTAAAATACCTTCCGTTAACTGATTTTCATTGAATGTTCCATTCAAATGGGATGTGCAATTGTAAGAATTTTGTCTGCATTGTACGCATGACATTTCGAATCCACCAACAGCTGCCGAAATAAATTTATTTGAATACAATTCGTATTAACATCCCTATAGAGTTTAATTTCGATCAAGCCGTTAGCCGATTCTTTGATAATATCAGTACCGGCCCAAATTTCGGTACATGTTTTCCTTAAGCTTGTTCCAGTCCGAGTGATTTCTTGCTAAGTTGTTAATGGGACATTAAGACATGGTGTTCGCGTCGCAATTGCGAACAATTTATGATCGTTAATAACGGGCTTGTGTAATTCGTCAGGCTCTCAGAAGTGTCGTTCACGTGAATGAATAAAAGGAACATAATTATATGTGCGTTTGTATAACTTAACTATGATCGGATTATTTAATATTACATGACATAAGTTTTGCTGATAAGAAGACCCAAAAGATGAATATAAAATTGATGTTTTTCTTCGACCCACTTTTACTTCCCTTTTCTTTTTTAATTTTACTTATGCTCAAACAGCTCTGTCCCTGTCCGATTTATCTCAATCGTTATCATCTCAATATGTACCATATTCCTCATCATCTTACAGAAATCTATCTATCAAATAATTATTTTTATTTATAAATGTGAATGAAATGACTTCACCGCCAACACTGGTCACCTTCTCTGGCTGTACCTAGTGCTTTCATTTTAGGTTTGTTAAAACTTAACCCAGTAATCTAGTAGTTCATGGCATGGAAATCGTTTTTATTTATACTTTATGTAAAAGAATAGAGGAAACCTATCAATTAAAACAAGATTCACTTATTGATGACACTTTGAAAGTTGGTCAATTAACGACGATTGTTTTAAAAGGGAAATTTACACAAAAAGTACATATGTTAATCGAATCATCAAACACTACACATGGCCACAAATATGATTAGTCAGATTGAAAGGTGATTATTTGTAGTCTTATAGCACTAACATTTACTACAGTAGTGAACAAGTTTACACTTGAATACTTTTACTCAATTGTTTTAAATGTTAACTAAGTTCAACAAGTAAGGCACTGAATTGTAAAATTAAATATATTCCTAGCTGAGTTATTATACAAGACAAATCTATATTTGTTTTACAAAATCCTTATGATAATACTTGTTTGTCGTCCAGCTGCTTCAGTTATTTTAGAATATAGCCAATTAGAAGATAAGACTGCTTAGATTTGGAATGAAGTAGTAAAAATCTAGTTCTCAGTGCTCTAATTCTCCTGTTTTCTTTAATGTCTGTTGCTAACAGTGAGACCTAGCTGTGGAATTTTCTAGGAAATTTCGATTAGTGGGGCCATAACCAATTGACAAGAAGTTGTTAATAACATATCGGCATCAACCGCACTTTGCCCCACGTTAGAATTTTATTTTGAGCGCAGCGTAATAGTTAACGCTGGAAATATGCAAAAACCAGAGGAAAACAAGACATTCCATTTAGAACGACGAGTTCAGTTTCGTCTTACGTCATGATTAGGCTCTATGTTTAGAAGCTAATGCAAGTTAACTCATGTCAAAGCAATTTTCACATCCGTACTTGTTATTCCTGGGCGTCCAACTCTATGTCGAGAGTTTCTTGACGATACAGTTTTTATGCTTATATTTTTTTTACTTAATGTGTCCTGCCCATGTAATTTAGTTACGAAACAGCCAAGGCTGTCGTAGAGCATTGCCGAATTGTTTGGTAGGATTTGAGAGGAACGGACATAATCATCTTAATGGGAATGTGTTTACAATCTGTGATTAATGCGAATGGGAAATATGCTCGAATCTAATAAAGTTTTATTTAGAATAAAACAATATAAAATATTCTACAGACTGCTATATCTTTCCGTATCATACGTTTGATATCATCTGTAAAGCGGAACAATTTTTAAACGTTGTGCAGCTTTTTTCTACCTTTGTTCCGAGTCGATGATATCTGCATATCCGGTACAGAGAAGCTGCAGAAAGACTGGTCTGTTTTAAAGTTGTGATTGATATTACTTTCAACAGCCGTTAAGATTGCATTCGTTTTAAGCCGAACTTTGAAACCAAATAACCATTTAACTGCAATTCACGATGCGTACAGCCCAAAAAT